AAACAGCAATGGAATATCTGAAGAAGCGTCTGAGCTTGCTGAGATAAATCTAAGGTGAGACTAGACTGTAACTATATATTAGTTAGCTGAAAAAGTAGTAAAAAAATCCTGTGAACTTTCAGTTCTAACTTCTCAGGCAGATGTCATAGTCTCTAACTACTCCGTATATACATCTATAATTGAAGAAGAAGAAGAATAATAATAATAATAATAATTGATGGAAAGTGATGTTGTGGTGAGGCGCACCCAACCACAAATGTGGTCGGGTAAGCGAAGGCACGTGTACACAGTGTTGTCTGTCCTCTGTTCTCCTCCAAAGATATCTCAAATTTGCTCGTCTGGAAGGTGTAGGGTTTTTGAATGAAAAAATAAATACATAAAATATTAATCACCAATGGCAGACAACCGCAAATCCGTCCTGATCACAGGGTAGGTTCTGTTTAAACTATTACACAGGAACAGTTGAATTTTGCTGACACCGTCATAACGTGCAATAATATACAGCTGTTCGCCCGGTGGCATTGGCCATTCCCTGGCGCAGGAGTTCCACCGCAACGGCCTGCGCGTCTTCGCGACAGCCAGAGATAAGAGCTCAATCGCCAACCTAGCGGAACAGGGGATTGAAACGCTGAGCTTGGTCGTGGATAAGGAAGAGAGTAGGAAGGCATGCCGTGAGGAAATTGAGCTGTTGCTTAAGGGGAAGGGGCTTGATTATCTGGTTAATAATGCGTAAAGTGTGGTTCTTTTCCCCAGCTTTTCTTTTACTCAAATGTCATATGGGCCAGTATGCTAACTTTAAGAGATAGTGGGTTAAGTATGTCAATTCATTCACTGTTTGAACTGGATGTCTGAAAATAGAGGATGGCCTGCGCTGTTCGAACATATATTAATTAATCCGCGACGAACACCAGACTACACCGTCCCCGCCTTGGACGTTAATCTCCAAGAGGTCCGAGAGGTCTTCGAGACAAATTTCATCTCGGTCATTGCAATGTGCCAGGAATTCGCCCCCCTGATCATAAAAGCCAAGGGCACAATCGTTCAAGTGGGATCCGTCGCAGGAGTAAGTGTTGTCAGACCTCTCAAAGGATATTTATTTGCATTTCCATAGTGGTTTGATCCCACTAATAGTTCATCTCAGATAATACCATACGTCTTTGGCTCTGTTTACAACGCATCAAAAGCCGCCCTGCACTCATTCAGTGATACTTTGCGCGTAGAGCTTGCGCCGTTCGGGTTCGTTGGACCCCCCTTTTCCTTTCCTATACCCATTAATGGCTCTATTTGCACCCTACTCACTTGCCCCCCCTAAAAAAAAAATTAAAAAAAAACATTTAAAAAAAGCGTCAAACCAAAACCAAACCTTCAGTCTTGACCACACAGGCTAACCCCCCCTCCCCGATCTAACCACCAGCGTCCAAGTAACAACCATAGTAACCGGCGGCGTAAAATCCAACATCGCTCGCACCTCCCGCACACTGCCCGAAACCTCCCTCTACCACCCCGTCGCCGCCGAGTACGCCCGCCGCATCGTCCACAGCCAGGAGGGCGCCGTGTCCAACGAAGCCTACGCGCGCACGGTGGTGACGCAGATCCTGTATGGGTCTGCACCGCTGCGGTGGCTGCGGTGGCTGCTCCTGTGGCCGTTTGGGGGCCGCGGGATTCGCCGGAGTGGTAGGTATGTGTGGGCGGGCAATCGATCGGCACTTATTTGGCTTTTGAGTGGGGGGTGGGCGTGGTTTGGGGTGTTTCAGATGGGGATGGCGAGGATGTTTAATTTGTGGAAGTTAAGGAAGTGAGGGGGGATGGTGGGTGGACTTGTAAGGGGTCTTGTTTCTTTTCGAATTGCATGCTTCCTGTGATGCATTTCTGTCTCCCTTACTGTAATCTATAGTTTACTAGTTAGTTGTCCTTAAAAATTTGAGTATTCCTCTTTGGCAATGTTCAAGGAGGGTGAAATGGCAAACAACTAGTCGGCGGTTCCCCTTCATGGACTTCTTCTCCATCCGGGCATATGCGGTACCTGACTGGGACAGACCCGCGTATGATTCTCGGAACAAACAATTATGATATTTCTGCTATCCAGAAAAAAAGAAAGAAAAAAGAAAAAAAGAAAAAAAAAAAGAAAAAAAAAGTTGAAACCTAAAAAGCACATAAGAAAGCCCAGAAAGAAGTGACAGGGAAAAAACATATATACATACCGAAATATGTTGGGGAGATGTGATGTGAGTGGGTTAAAAAGATTTATGCAAGAAATACAGACTCTAGAAACATGATGAAAAGGACATAGCAAAAAAAGGTAATGGGCATCCAATGACACAAAAGGGGTAGGAGGCCGTGCAGTAAATTGCATAACACGCTAACTTTTGTTTTTATTAGAGAACGTCAGAACGGGACACGGTATTAAGGCACGGTGTGCCGCTTGCATAAGCATACCACGAGATCTAATATGCAAAACGAATAAAAAAGTATAATTAAAAACAAGTAGTAGAGAAGTACGTGAGAGAGGAAGGCCTTGTTTAGTTCTTGTAGTCAAGAGAGGTTTACTGTCTGCACGCAGAGTGGTAGGCGTTATCGCCGAACTCTCAGGCATGTCATCTGTAGTTTTCGTATACAAAGTGTTAGAGGAGAAGCGATGAGTTTCCATATCACGTAGCTAGTGAGTGGGTGCGAGTGAGCGTGTATGGTATGGCTAAGGGATTAAAAGCCTCAGCATGAACACAGACGCATACACATACACCAGCCGCATTACCTTTTGAGGGCAGGTAGGTTGTAGACATGGTGATGGCATGTAGCGGAGCTTGTTAAGAACCAAGATGGGAAGATAACAAAAAGAAGAAAAAGAAACAGAGCTCGGACACCGTGCTTCTCTTCGATTTAAATACCAAGCGAGAATTCTACGCCCACGTCGATTTCGCGGGCCATCTTGACGACCTTGGAGAACTGGACAGATTTTTCAGCGGCATTTTGCAGATCCTCCATGGAAAAGATCTTCAGGCCAGATTCATTGATCTACATATAGGTGGTGATTAGCTTGGACCCACATTGACATTGCTGTTTGTTTTCTGTAACGAGGCGGGGGTTGTAGTTAATTTAGATAGACATACTAGCTCATGCGCTTTAGCCATGTTGGTTCCTTGCAAACGTGCAACGATCGGGGTGCGAAGGTTCATTTCGTTGACAACATTGATCAACCCTTGGGCGATGGCATCGCATCTGACAATACCACCGAAAATGTTGACAAAGATAGCAGTGACCTTGGGGTCGCTGGTGATAAGCTCAAAAGCAGATCTAATTGCCTGTGGAGTAGCACCACCACCAACGTCGAGGAAGTTGGCAGGGTTGCCGCCGTTGAGCTTGATGATGTCCATGGTTGCCATTGCAAGGCCGGCTCCGTTGACTTTGGGGGCGCGGTTAGCAAGGAAATAGTAGGCGAGGGGCTAAAATGGTAGACTTACCCAAGCAACCGATATCTCCATCCAATTTAATGAAGTTTAATCCAGACCTAGAACACATCCCTGATCAGCGGGTAAACTTATCCAAAACATAATTTGAGAAATAACGCACTCAGCAGCCTTGACTTCATCAGCGTCTTCCTGGGTAGTATCTCTCCACGAGAAAATCTCCTTTTGTCTGAATTCGGCATTATCATCAAAGCCAAGTTTCGCATCCATGGCAAGAACCTCGTGCTCAGTAGTCTCGCAAAGAGGGTTGATCTCGATTTGAGTGGCGTCCTTCTCCATGAAGACTTTGTAAAGCTTTTGGATGGTGTCCTTGGCCTCTTCCACGCACTGTTCTGAAAATCCGAGATCTTTGGCAATATTCCTTGCCATCTCATCCGTGACACCGACGTTGATATCAACGCTGGTCGTGGTAATAGCCTCGGGGGTTTCCTTGGCGACTGACTCGATATCCACACCACCTTGCGAGGAAGAAACGATGACGGGCGCCTGCGTCTGCCTGTCCATCAGAATAGCTAGGTAGAATTCTCGTCGAGCAAACTTGCGCTCGCAGATATATACGGCATTGCAGAGGCGACCTTGGGCGCCGGTTTGTTTGGTGACGAGCCTGTGGCCAATCATCTGACCAGCAAACATCTTGGCCTCAGTCGGTCTATATATCTCGAGATTTAGTATAAATTCCATTTGAAAAAAACGGGGGAAGCGATCGCGAAAATACGTACGAGTATATGACGCGCACACCACCCTTCAGGCCATTATCAAAAGTGCCCTTTCCTCGACCACCAGCGAGAACTTGAGCCTTGATCACTAGATCCTCCGCACCTATATAAACTCCTTTCTTAGCGATATTATCGCCTCTAAGTATCTAACATCAAATGAAACGTACCAATCTGTTTGGCGACAACCTCCGCTTCCTCCGCAGTTCGGGCAACTTCACCCTTCGGCACGCCAACGCCATACTATACATCCCCCCTGCGTTAGCATCTTGTCCACTGTCATGCCATTCCAACAAAGTCCCGGACCGGAGAAGTACGGTACGTACTGATTTTAGGAGGTTTGCGGAGAGGTATTCATGGATGGAGAGGTTTCTTTTTTGCTGTTGGGCAAAGCGACTTCGAATTGGCGTCCCCTGTAGGTGAGTTAGGATGGAAATTAGCATCCAACACGTACGCATAATTTGTTTTTCATCTTTTTTTTCCCCTGTATAGGCGCGGTTACGTGGTGGACGGACCGGAGGGCGGAGAGTGGGCGGACTTACTGTAGCGGCTCTGAAGGTTGCACCAATTGGCTTGCTACGGGCGAGCTTGAACATTGTGACAGTTCAGTTCAGCACGGCGAGGAACACAAAGGGACGATATAAATGAGATGAAATTAGAGGAAGGGAGGAAGATGGAGAAATGGATGGAATGAGCAGAGGGAGAGAAGAGAAGGACAGGATTGACAAGAAGACAGGAAGAGCTGGAGTTTGGAGTTTGGAGCTATTATTGGGTGAAGGTCAAATATAATACATACGTAACTGCCGGGGAAAGCAGGGCGGTATTGCGGGTAACTACGGTACAAGTTTCGGATGTTGCCAGCTGAGACAGCCCTGATACCGCGCTATGTATTTTATTTTAATCTTGCCGCAAAAAATACGTCCCCAAAAATACAAAGTCCTTCCTCACTCTTCTTCCCCGCAAGAGATACAACATTTGAACGTTATAGTTGCCATTATATTTCGAAAATATTTCCATAGTCATGTCCGTTTCCGCGTCTGAAGCAGACATAGTCTTCAATAGAGCAAATGTAGCCCTAGCACGTAGCCAGCGTCTCGTCGCATCATGGCTACCCCCCAAAACCGCCGAAGAGATTGCCAACACAAAAACCGAGGAGGAACTCCAGCGGGAAGAGGATGAGATATTCACCCCCGTTCCAGATAAGTGCGTCGCGTCTTTATCTTATATACGTTTCCGCCATACTGGATAAAAATCAATTTCTGTTTCTGACCAACTAACGTCGTTCCAATCAGACTAGGACTTGGCGCCCCCCTCCCCAAAAGCCAGCAAGACGGTAGCTCCAACCGCACCGAGCTCAGCTCTAACGAGAAACTCCGCAAACAGCTCCTGGGCAAGAATTACAAGAAATTTACCCCAAGCGTGCCGGTGACCGGTTCTCGACCGCTGCCGGATACGAAGCTGAAACACCATCAACGACACCAACGTGCAAAACCCCAACCGGAAAGCGATGACGATGACGAGGATGAAGGACGGTCTTCGCTGGGTAGGAATAAGAGGAAGAGGGTGAGGACAGGGGTTGAGGGGGGTGATGAAGTCACTACAACTACAGCTACAAAGCCCGCAGCTGGCAACCATAATGACAACGGCGACGACAATCAATCGGACGATGGAAGTGCACAGCGCAGCACGCAGCGGAAGAAACCTGTTAGTTACCTCGATGAGCTATTAGCGGAGCGATCGAAGAGGAGGAAGAAGAAGAAGAATAAAGAATAAGAAGCAGTCGTACTAGCAGGAGTGCTACAAGCTTCCATCCAGCTATAAGCTCCGCGAAACGAGACGAGACGAAAAAGGGAAAAAGGTGCATGTACATGCATGGATATATCCCGTTTCAGCTTCTTTATTTCGCGGCTTAATGTTTTGGAAAGAATCGGATCTTTCCCCAACGCATATCGAAGAATAGCCGGTTTTACCCAGTACCCAGTACCCCTTAAGGACGCAGTACCCAAGGTCCCAGCCGCCCCTATGTCAATCAGTCGTCGAAGGGCCTATTGGAAAAGGACCGGGGATCCAAAAATCAAAAATCCGAAACCAAGGGGAAAGAACAACCAAAACAGTATCTACTTGGTGACGCCCATCCACCTCCCTCGGCCAGAACTGGAGCAGGGCCAGTGGTAGACCCAAAGCACCCAGCGGAAGACGAGAGGAAGAGGAAGAGGACCAGTGTACATGGGGGAGACACGAAAAGGCGAACCATATCGTTTTCATGGACGGGCGGACGGTCGGACGGTCGGTCGTCTGATATCGCCAGCGGGGCATGCGCGTTCAGTTGCTGCTAGGCATGTATATATGTATATAGAGAGAGGATTGGCCCATGTCACGCGCAGTAGTCAGATGAATTGACTGTAAATAAATGAAAGTTGAAATAAAATATAAAAAATAATTAAATAAATAAATACATGGGTTAAAAATATGTCTCTCCATACATCGTGCTCCCCAGATACCTAGGTACATGTGCATGTACATTACATATCAGTTACTTATCCCGACATGGTATCACCACGCGTAAATAGATTGATTGATAGGGAGTGGATAGCCGATAGACGGAGTGAGGGTCACTACCCTAGGTAGGTACATCCATACTGGTACACAAAAATACACATTCTTTCCAAAGTTAGTTATACCAAAAACAAGCAGAAAAGAACAAAACCAGGCGTGTAGATGCGACTAACATCAATCAACAAAATTGAACCGTGGACGCGAAAAAAAAAAAAAAAAAAATACCGAGCTCGTTCGTTCGCCCCGGTTTCTTACATAAATTTTCTTTTTTTCTTTTTGCCTCTGCCCCTTTCCCATTCAAGTCGGAAATAATAAACTCATTGTAATCGCTTCCTCTTCCGATCTTCTCCACCTCCACCTACCCCATCCTCCTCCGCTGCCCGCTCCGCGGTCTCCGCCGCTGGATTTAGCAGCGAATGTACATTACTAGCCATACTTGGCCGGCGCGTAGCAGGCAACGAGTCCGCCGCTGGACGAGGGAATTTCGGCCCGCCAACCGACCACCCACTTTCGGGGTTCAACGAGGACGAGGACGAAGGGTGCGCGGCGTGTGGGTGGGGATGTGGGTGGGTTTGTGTATATGTATGTGGATGTGAGAGTGAGTGTTGTGGCGCGGCCGCGACGGGGTCGATTGAGATAGGGGGTGGCGGTGGGGAAGAATGCCTGGATGCGTCTTGGTTGGTTGTGGTGCCGCGGCGGGGTCCGCCCATTTCGTACTTGGCGAGGAGGTCGCGGACGTGTTGGTGGTCGGGGTTGGGGAGGGGCGGAGCGTGGTTCATGGGAACATTGTTCGTGCTATTCGTGTTGCTTGGGTGGTGGCTGTTTCGTTGCGGAGAAGGTGGCCAATGAGAGGAAGGGTGGTTAGGACCGGAGGGGGAGGTAGGGTTGTTATTTGTTGCTCCCCAGCCATGTTCGCGAATGTCTGCAGAGGTGTGACGGCGGCCGAGGTTGGGACATGGTGCAGTCACGGAGGAGAGAGGGTGAGGGGCGGGTTGTTGGGGCGGGATTTGAGGGCGGTTGTAATTTGGCGATGAATTTGCGGCGCCAATTGATCCGTATCGACGAGGGGATACGGCAAGGTGGGTTGGGACTGGCGCCTGAGCCATGGAGGGACGCCGGCTATCATCTTGAGGCATCTGGCGCGGAGAAAGTGGGGGCCCGGAATGGAGGGTCATGCTGCTAAAGTATGGTTGTCGCCCGGATAAAAGGGACTCATGAGGATTTTCATAGGCACGGATGGCATCCAATTGTCGTGAGATCTCTCGTTGCATGTTGGCAGCTATTTATTAAACCGAGAGAATTAGTTTCATTTTCAAAGAATGTGTGCAGAGAATGTTTCGCAAGAGAATATTTTGGCTCAGGCTCACCATCTCTATGAATCGCGCTATCGGGATCGGGAACAATCGACATGACGAAATGCGACATCGAATTGGACCACTATAAACCCAAGTTAGTAAGAGGGGGCAGCCCCCTTTCAGTAAAATTCCATCGAAGCACGACAAAGGTTTCCGTACTTGATGACATCGCACTAAACTCTCGGTCAAAGCTTGACACCTGGAGTTTAACTGTGAATAGTTCTCCTCCATGCGCGAGAGACGAGAGTGGAGATCGCAGATATGATGTTCCGTAGTGATCAGTCTTGAATCGATCACTCTGGAATCGGAACCATCGGGAAGTTGTTCAGCGGGAGTCCCAGGCTGGGAAGCACTTGGTTTATGTGCGGAAAAGGAATCGCGGTGAATCAAGGTCTGTCTGGATGCGCGTCGCTTGATCTCTCGTAGGCCGGCTACGTCTCCCTTTTTGAAATTGCCATTGCCGTGTTTGAACTCCCACATTTGAGAATCCGGGGAGCCCGTGTGGAAGACATCGCTTACTGTATACATCGGATGGCAGAGTTAGAAACGGCCGATTGATTCAAAAATTTAGATGATTGGAGAGGGCTTAATAGATAGATACCTTTGTGAAACCCATACATATTCAATTGTCTGACAAAGGAGGAGACATTGGTGTGCTTGAAATATTGACTATGTGATGTGGGTCAGCTACCTCCAGAGACAAAGGAATGATTGCGATCCGGGAAAGCTGGAATGAGGAGGACGTACGCGAGAACTTTTGAGAAATCCTGGGAAGGAGACATAACGAAGCTCTCGTTTGAGCTGGACCACGATATCAAATGTTGTATCGTGGGATCTTGTAGCATGCTGCGCAGTGGACAGTTGCATTAGAATAACCACAACAAATAAATAAGTAAATAAAAATTGAAAAAATGAAAAAATAAAGTAAAATAAAATAAAATAGGTCCTTTATAGTTTAGGTTAAGGGGAGGAAGAGGTTTAACAGGGCGACAAGAATGTGTCCCAACCTTACCTGTACAACTTATGTATAAAGGCGGTTTGAACGACCTTGGGTTGTTGCGCGGCGGCGGCAGCGCCCGTGGGTTGGATCTGCGCATGGCCGGCGGACTCGCCTCCCATCATCGCACCCGCACCCGCGAGCGCAGCGCCAGCGCCGTTTGTACGATTGTTATTGAGGTTACTATTGCCATTGTTGGCATGACCGTTATTATTATTGTTGTTATTGGTATCGGCATTGTTATCGGGGTTATTAGGGTTGTTGGGATTGTTGGGGTTGTCGGGATTATTGTGGTTGTTATTGTGGTTGTTATTGTGGTTGTTATTGTGGTTGGCGGAAGTTGCTTGTCCATGTTCTGAGTCGGCGGGACTACTGTTATTGTTGGTGGGAGGAGCCATTGAAGCTGATGTAGGCGGAGATAGGTCCATGGGGTCGCCTTGTGAGAGGTGATCGGAGGGAGACATGGAGGAGGAGAGGACGGGGATGGTTCTGGACTTTCCGGGGACGTCTGTTGGGCTGGAGAACGGGCTTCGAGCGTGATGTTCTTGTAATCGATTCATGGCGAAAAAAGGGGGGAGGCGATGATGGTAATAACGGTGGTGATGATGGCGACGATAGGGGAGATATGGAGATGGTATATCGGTGGGTGTGGCATATGTATATATGTGTGTCGGAGAGGGTTGGAGGAAGGGCCCAGATGATCGCGCGCAAAGAGACGAGAAGGAGAAGCGACGCGAAGAGGGGCGGAGAGAGGGAGAACGAGGGGAAGGAGAGAGGAGGAGTTGGATTGGCTAGATAATTTAAATAGATTCGATAATAAATATATAAAAAAATATTTAAACAATATCGAGCGATTGGAGGAGGTTATATTGAGGATTGCTGAGTGGACGGGAAGACTCGTCGGGTGCGCACCCGACAGGTGCAGCAGGCAAGACTCGGGCGATTATCGCACAGGACAGGACAGGACTTGGACTTGGACTTGGACTGGACTGGACTGGACTGGAGGGCAGCCAAAGACAATGACAACGGCACGCATCTAGATTTCGGTAGTTATCCTCTTTGCGATGGAGTTGTCGATTGTAGTTCGTACTCCTATAGTTAGGTGGCAGCAAGTATTGGAACGGGAGTAGAGTAGGTCAGAATGGGTAGCAGCAGCTAATAGGCAAAGGCACAGTCTCGGTCGTAGTGGTAGTGGCAGTGGCAGTGGCAGTGGCAAGGGGAACGAGGTATAAGGAGAGGCAGGACTGGCATTATTGATTACACCAGCCAGTTCGATTTGTCGAGGAATGAGGAAGTGGGAAGAATAGAGAGCAGACAGAGGGAGTGGAGATGGAGGAGATTGGAGGAGGAGAGAGATATCAAGTGGAGGGCAGTTGGTTGTAGTAATGTAGTGTAGTGTATAGTTGTAGTGAGAGGAGGAGAAGAGAGAGAGGGAGAGTGAGTGAGTGTGTGTGAAGAAGAATAAGCAGACAGAGAGACAGAGAGACAGAGAGAAAAAACAAGAGATTTGATCAGAGCAATAAACTAACTAACTTATAACTGATTGATTGAGTAACCTAGAAACAGTTTTTCTGGAGCTGAATCATAATCATAATCATGAGAATAATAAATAATATGGAGTAATGAGTTACAGTTGAACATGATGCCAAAGAAGTTGATCATGATGCCAACTTTTGACCCACTTTTCTGGACACACACACACACATAGTTACACTAGACTAGACACATATAATATATTACAACATAACTATATTACTAATACATTCTCAATGCTCTCTCTCATCATATGATTGATGACCTTTTTTCATATTTCTTGAGATTCTAACTCATTCTAACTCATTCTAATAATACCTATAATTTCAGGTTTTATTCTGTAATCTACACTTTCACACTTAAAGAAACTGAATGTTGAGAGAAAGAGAAACAGCAGAATGCAGACTGTAGAGATGATTATGCTGGATACGTCTACAGCGTAGTCATGTAGAGCTGTTTTTCCAGCTCGAGTTGGCTGGCACCACGATCAGTTTTTTTGGCACCACGTTCAACTGTATTGGCCCCAACCAAACCAACCAAACCAAATCCCCCCCCCAACCCACTAAGCTAGCGATGCTAAGTAAATGCGCTAAACCCGCAAAATAGAGGAGGAAGCTGGAGGAGTGGAGATGATTGCTTGGAATCAAATTATCAATTATCTCTCCTCCCCCCTTCTAAGGTTTACTCTGTAGTTACTCTAACTAGAAAGTTGGTTGCTTCTGCTGTTGCTTTTACTATTGCATTTGTTTTTATTTTATATAAAAGGGAAGGGAAGAGAGAAGAGGAGAGAAACCATGAAAGTAATAAGATACAGTGAAATGAATACAGAGTAACACATGAATTACATTCAAATAATGAAGAGAAGAGAGGAGGAAAAAAAGGAAGAAAAAAACAAAGAGAAAAAAGAAGCTGAAGAAAAATAGAAAAAAATAAAAGAGTTGAAAAGATGAAAAAAGAGAATAGCAGGAAAAAAATTTAAAAAAAATAAAAGAAGAATAGAGTAAATAATGCTACCTATACATACACATGTAAATATGCATTGTTACATTTTATTATAGTTGATTAATTCTTTATATAAATACTACAGAGTACACTCTTTTAATTAATTAATTGCTCATATAATAATATCTCTTAACTTAATTAATTAAACAAATAAATAGTCCAGCTGCACAAATCTGCTAGAACAATGCAGTTTGTGCTGGGATCAGTGACAATTATTAATGCTGGTAACTACTGTAGTTAGTTACATACTGTCTCTTCTCTTCTCTTCACTCTCATCTCAGCACTCAATAATAACTTCCTTCTAATCATTATTGATATTCCACCTCATCTAACACTAGAGATAGGTACAGTGTGTACATAGTTGATTCAGTTGAACATTGAACTCTGTCAGCATCAGTGCCATCAGCAGCAGCAGCAGCAGTGATATATTATTAGCTGTCTCAGTCATGACTTCATCCCTGCATATACACAGTACAGCTCTCCCCACAACACATACTCACAGACAGCTGTAAGTAAGGAATGCCTCTTCATCTATCTATACCATCTCATCACAAATGCTCACAATCACTGTTCTTCTCTTTTCTTCCATGAATATTAATTAGTAGAGTTATACTCTCCTGCTAACTGACATCCCTCTCCAGCCTTCAATCCCTGGTTCAGCAGCTCAGCAATGAGGACTGCCATATCGTATCCAGCTTGATCCATGCCCGACTCCATGTGGATATCCTGGGCTGCTTGCCTCTCGAGCTGGCGGCTGGGATAGCCTCCTATCTGGCTCCGTGGGACATTTTCAGATATAGATCAGTATGTTGTTCTTTTATGTTATTTTTTTATTCTTTTTATTTATTTATTTATTATTATTCTATTAGTATTTTATACCCATGGCTCCCTCCATATGCTTCATTTCAATACCCTATTAAATAAATAATAATTATAAAAAAGGTATCCAAACGCTGGAATGAAGTCCTCTCATCCCCTTCCGTCTGCAGTAGTAGCTTCTATACATACTTCCCCGAACAACAGCAATTATTATTATTCGACACAAGTAACCCAGACTGGCCCTGCCAGTTCCGTCAGGTTACAAAACGGCGCCTGGCGTTAGTGACGGGGAGACCATACAGCAAGTCCGTGTTCCCCCATAAAAAACACAAGGCTCAAACACGGGCGAGTACTCACCTGGTTTCCTACCATGATGGCATGGTTGCGCACGACCTTGGTGCCCGAAAGATCAGACTGCTATCAGTCGTCGACGGACCAATCGCTGCCTATCAGACGGAGAATCGGGAATGTTTCCTCGAAGTTGCGCTTTCGTGCACGGCGGTTGCGGCTGTGACGATTGAGGGGTGAGGTTTTGACTCTTGCGTTTCCCTACCTTTATCTTACTACTTCATTTGATTTTTTTTCAATGTTAAATTTCAGGAACACAAATGGAATCTGGTTCTAACCCACTGAGTTAGGTACTGCCATGTCTGGAACTATAAAACAGAAGATGAAGGCTCCTTTCGTCTACCGTCCAAAGCAATCCGTTTAGTTCTTGATGAGGATGCCGTTGCCGTACAGGTAGGAATTCATCCCACGGTTATCATCACTTGGGATTTGCGATCAAGACAGTCCAGGGAAATCAAGCATGATGCTTCCGTTCTTTTACACATATTTCTCAGCGCAAGAGACTCATCGCTGGTTCTCGTCCATTCCACAGATGATGAAGATGGGGCGCCCCAAAACTGCAACGTCGACAAAGACTTCTCCGGCATTGTTGGAACGCGATATCTTCTCCAGGGTGCAATTCCCGCTCTGCAGGGTGTTACTACGTATTTAAAATTGCCGCCAAATGAACCTAAGATCACCCATAATACCGTGAACGTTTTCGGTAATCATGACAGATGCGTCATCGCCTTCGGACAGCCTGTAATGGATGAGGATGACAGTTGTCGTCGAGATCCTTGGGTGTACGATCGGCGTAAACGGTATATATTGGTGATACTGCATCCCGGAAAACATCAGCACAAGCAACAACTACAACTCCCAAGACGGCCATACACAACCCTCTACCACGACCCCATCCCCCAATTCATGGGATATAGCTTACCCACCTCCGCAGCAACCACATGTCCAGATGTGATCTATTACCGTGATGATATCGACCTAGGCCTCACAGTCGCCAACTATCTACCCGGCACCAGCAGCACGGGCGCCACTTTTGCCGGATCTGAGATCGAGGACATCCTAACGGATGAGTACGTGATGGCAGAGAAAGGGAGCCTGCTTATTGACGGCAATTTCTTCATGGGTGGCGATGATAGGTTTTTGGTAATCGTGGATGAGTGTGGGGTTCATGTGTGGTGTTTTGATGAGGATATTGCGCTGTATGGGGAGGACGTGCAGGGATATAGGAGAATTCGGAAATGGCGTGCGGAAGAGCGCACGCGGAGGCGGGAGAGGGAGCCGGAGCTGGAGAGCGAAGTGGCGTGGAATGAGAAGAGTGCGACTATGAAATTTAAACAGAAATTGTTGGCGATTGGACGTGATGATACGGTGAGGCTGATAAATGAATTTGTGGGGAAGGACTGGAGAGTGAAAGATTGGCCCTGGTGAGGATGATCGCCACTCCTACTGGTATAGTAGACAAAACGGATGGCAGGCAGGATGTCACGTTTATCTCTCTCTCTCCCCCTTTTTCCCCTCTGCCTGTCTCTCCTTTTCCTCTCATGAGATGTCCGGCGTCCTCATTTTTCATGCCGGTGGGGGTGCACGTTTGGGCCGGGGAGGGATGGAAGTAGCATGTGGGAGATTTAGGGAAATGGAGGACTTGACTGTGAAGGAAACGGTATGATATGGACAGGTTTGATTGGAAGGCCCCTTTTGCAAAATCACAGAAGAACCCCATCATGACTCCATGAGATGAGAGCCCGTCCCGTCCGGTCTATGCTGGGATTATAGTGAAGTAATTCGCGTCCTGCGACCTACAAGGAAGTGGAAAAATGGATATATGTACGCCGTATGTGTTTACATATATTTAAAAATTAAAACACTCAGCTACTGGTGGGGCGGGTGCGTCATAATCATCACCATCATCATCATCGTTTTTATTTTATTTTATTTTTATTTTATTTTATTTTATTCATTCAGAACGGTGGTGGGTGCAGCAGTTTTTGTCCCTCCCTCCTCACAGCTCGCGGCTTCCGGATATCCAGCTTGCGGGACCACTACTCAACATCCTCAGACACAAAAACATGTCCGTCTATCTATCCAGTTATGTATGAGTCGACGAAAGAGGAGGAAAAAAAGAAGACACATATCAGCCCGACGGGCAGACTCGCTTTTCTCTTTTTTCCAGCAAGGTCAGGGTCAAGGACAAGGTAGGTGACAGCGAAGGTGAAGAAGAAGAAGAACATGCTCATTAAGGCCTATTGAGCCACACCACAACCACCAACTAGTAGTGGCTTCCGTCCGTATCCCGCATTCGGCCGTACGAGGTTCTAACTTCTAGGCAGACGGATATATCATTTAACTAGAACTCCGTACTCCGGACTACAGACAGTACATAATATGATTTCGGCCCGACAAGATACAATAAGTGACGATGTCTTTAGTGCCGCGCTAAATAAATCAACAAGAGCTAACTAGAGGTGCACGCGCACAGAATTACGTGCGAAGGAGGTTGTTCGGCTTCCACTGGTGTTTTTTTCACGGTGTTCAAGATGGTTTGACGAACACCGCTCCTTATTATTATTAGTTAGGGTTCCGGGTCCCTAACGCCGCACCGCACCCGCGGTTCTCTCAACTCCACTCAACGCAACGCAGCGCAACCTGCTGTCATACTCTGTTGTGCGGTGCGGAGTGGAAGAGATTTTTCCATTCCAGAGTTGGAATTGGAGTTCGAGAGGGAATGATGTTGCGGACTATGGAGTCCATTTGTCTTGATGTGTTGCCTGATGATGATTGCGGCCCTGCGTGCGGTGTTGGTCAGTGGTGGTCCGGTTCATGATATACATATTTCTGTATATGTATATATGTCGCCTCCGTCAGCGATGATGGGGTTTGTTTTTAATTTTACTATTCGTATCAGGTTCAGTTAACTTATATTGACTGAGTACACTTGAATTGACGAGTTTTTATTATTGTGCATTCTTACGGCGTATTCTTTTTTTTTTTTTTTTTTTTGGTTGAGAAGTTCAATATACTCTCATTATTGCTTTCGTTTCGTCCATATCTACCTATATATCCATACCCTTATCCTCATATATATATAGATATAGATTGCAGAACTCCAGCCTAGGGACGCGGAAAACATACCTCTCGCACAAACGGCGCCGCAGATCGTGCGATGTCCCAATCGGAGAAGGCCATCAGACCCTCCCGCGCCGACGATGAGGAGCAGAATTTCGACGATGAAGTCGGAAGACTCTCCCGACGACTGACCCGGGCCTCGAGCACGATCGACCAGGATATCAGGGCATACAACCCCGAGCTGGGCACCCACCTGGACCCCAAATCACCAACCTTCAATCCGCGCGAATGGGTCAAGGCACTCCTGCGCCTCTACGAGGCCGACCCCCTATCGGCGCCTGATCGGTTTCTCGGCGTTGCGTTCAAGCACCTGAGCGCCTATGGGTGGAGCACTGGCGTGGAAAGCCAGCCCACCGTCTCTAACATGGTCACCAGCATCCTCTCGTCCCTGGCGGGCTTGGTAGGTGCGAAGCGGCAGGGGAAGCGAATTGATATCCTGCGGGACTTTGACGGTGTTGTCGAGCAGGGTGAGCTTCTGCTTGTGCTTGGGCCGCCGGGCTCCGGGTGCTCGACGTTTCTGAAGACATTGGCGGGCGAGACTTCCGGGTTCCGGGTGAGCGAGGAATCGTACTTGAATTATCGAGGTACTGTGAATATCCCTTCCTTCCTCTCCCCTTTTTTCAGATCATCCTTGCTCCTGAGATGGAGATGGGTGAGCCGAACCGAACCGATCATGCTGACAGTTCATTTTATCATGCTCAAGGCATCGACCGCAAGCATGTATTGAGGTCCATTCGCGGCGACGTCCTCTACAACGCAGAGGTGGACTCGCACCTGGCCCACCTCACTGTCGGAGAGACTCTGTCCTTCGCTGCACGATGTCGCTCGTTGCGTCACATTCCGGGCGGCTTCTCACGCGAGCAAGCCGATACCATGATGCGTGATGTCATGATGGCTGCCTTTGGTATCGCCCACACCGTGAACACCCGCGTCGGTGATGACTTTGTGCGCGGCGTCAGCGGTGGCGAGAGGAAGCGCGTTAGTATTGCCGAAGCTGCGCTCAGCGGAGCCAAGTTTCAATGCTGGGATAATTCGACTCGGGGCTTGGATAGTGCCAATGCCATTACGTTCTGCAAGAGTCTGCGCTTGCAGGCTGATTTGATAGGCGTAGCTGCTGCTGTTGCTATCTATCAGGCTCCGCAGGCTGCGTATGAGGTGAGACTCTCCACCTAGCTCTATTCTCTATTCTTCCTAACTAATTTTGATTTATTTAACTAGCAATTCGACCGGGTGATCGTTCTGTATGAAGGGCGTCAGATTTTCTTTGGAAAGACAACGGAGGCCAAGGCCTACTTTGAAAGCCTGGGGTTCGAGTGTAAGTGTTTCCCAAACGTAGGAGTGACGGAACATAGCGTTGTGCTAAGTCAATTCATCTCTTTTCAGGCCCCCCTAGACAAACAATACCCGACTTCCTCACATCCATGACGAGCCCAGGAGAACGACGTCCCAAGCCCGGATTCGAGAACCGGGTACCCCGAAGCCCCAACGAATTTGCTGCGAGGTGGCGTGAAAGCCAAGCCAGGCAGAACATCTTGCACGAACTAGCAACATATGAAGAGAACCACCCATCTGCAGAACGCCTTGAAGAATTCAACAAATCCCGCCGTGCCGAACAGGCAAAGAGCCAGCGCCTCAAGTCCCCTTATATTATCTCATACAAGCAGCAGGTGGGCTTAACCCTATGGCGCGCCTACAGAAGGCTCCTTGCAGATCCTGGATTCACTATTTCTTCTCTCCTGTTCAACCTTATCATCGCGCTGCTTCTTGGGAGTATGTACTATGACCTGAAACCCGATACTTCGTCGCTCTACTACCGTGGAGGTATTGTCTTCTTCGCAATCCTGTTTAATGCCTTTGCCAGTCAACTCGAGGTAAAATCTCCCCATTTAGTTTAACTGATTTGTTCATCTGGCGACAGTTACTAATCACACCAATAGGTGCTTACTGTGTATGCTGAACGCCCTGTCATTGAGAAACAACACAAATATGCCTTCTATCACCAGTCCACTCAGGCCATCGCAAGCTACGTAATAGACCTACCATATAAGACTGTCAACATGATCGTCTTTAACGTGGTTATCTACTTTATGGCAAACCTTCGCCGAGAAGCTGGCCCCTTCTTCTTCTTCTGCCTGACAACATACGTCCTTACCCTCGTCATGTCATGCCTCTACCGCTGGCTAGCCAGCATCACTCGAACCGCATACCAGGCCATGGTTCCCAGCTCCATCCTCAGTCTTGGGCTAATTATGTACACGGGATATACCATCCCGGTGAATCATCTTCCCGGATGGTCGCGATGGATGAACTACATTAACCCGTTCGCCTATGCATTCGAGGCTCTGATGGCTAATGAGTTTCACGGCTTGGAGTACCCCTGCGCGGATATTGTCCCCAAGGGACCCGGTTATGACAACCTTCCCAATGAGTCGATGGTTTGTTCTTCTGTGGGCGCGCTCCCTGGCTCTACCACAGTCAATGGGGATAGGTACATCGCATTGACGTATGAGTACTATGAGGCGAATAAGTGGAGGTGAGTTAACACTCCAATCTCAGAAACTAATATTCCTTTTTTGTTTTTCATGACTGCATGCTGACAACTTCCTCAGAGATATTGGAATTCTATTCGCCTTCTTGATCGCTTTCTTCACGATGTACATCATTGCTTTCGAATATGCAAAACCGCCCAAGAGCAAGGGCGAAGTCCTCATTTTCCCGTCCGGCAAGCTGGCTCGTACCTCTGAGAAGGCTTCCATGGATGATGCCGAAATCCAGCCGCACGCTAGGAATGAATATTTCCATTCGAATGATACCAACGTAGTCACTGACTCCACTAGCTCTGGGCCGGTCAATGGCGGAGCCGTGTTCCACTGGGAAAACCTGTGCTACGATATCACCATTAAAGGCAATGGTCGGCGCATTCTTGATCATGTAGATGGATGGGTCAAACCGGGTACCTCAACCGCACTTATGGTGAGTATACTCTCCCCCATGCAAATCCGTCACGCTCTATCATTTTTTACTAAACCCCCTTTTTCCAGGGCGTTTCCGGCGCCGGGAAGACCACCCTCCTCGACGTACTTGCAAGCCGTGTGACCGTGGGCGTCGTGACTGGCGACACGCTTATCAACGGCTCCCCAACAGACTCCTCCTTCCAGCACCGTGTCGGCTACGTGCAACAGCAGGACCTGCACCTAAACACCATGACAGTCCGGGAGGCCCTGGTGTTCAGCGCTCTGCTGCGCCAATCCGCAGAGATCCCCAAGAAGGAGAAGCTGGAATACGTCGACTATGTTATCAATCTCCTTGACATGCAGAGCTTCGCCAACGCCGTTGTGGGTGTCCCGGGAGAAGGATTGAACGTAGAACAACGAAAACGCCTCACAATTGGCGTTGAACTCGCCGCGCGCCCCCAACTGCTGCTTTTCCTTGATGAACCTACTTCTGGCCTCGACTCTCAGACATCATGGGCGATCTGCCAGCTTATTAAGAAGCTCACCCGAAGTGGGCAGGCGGTTCTTTGCACGATTCATCAGCCATCGGCGCTTCTCTTTGACCAGTTCGATCGGCTGCTGTTACTTGCGCCTGGTGGTAAAACGGTTTACTTTGGTGGTAAGTTGGGAAGGCCGGTAGCAGCCACGAAAAATTTAGATGCAGTGCAAGAATCATGATCGCTAATAACACGCCTCTTCTACTCCGCGCAGATCTCGGTCCCAAATCAAGGACTCTAATCAACTACTTCGAGCGGAACGGCGCCCCCAAATGTGCCACTGAAGCAAATCAGGCCGAATGGATGCTTGAAATTATCAAGCCAAAGACCGACGACACTGTCGGCATTGATTGGCACCAGGTATGGCGAGACTCTTCCGAGTTCGAAGCAGCTAAGAAGGAACTGGCACACCTCCGTAGCCTCGCAACCGCAATGAAGGCGAACGAAGGCACGCAAGCTTTGGAAGCCGCCGGTAGTGAGTCGTCTCAGCACCGCGAATTTGTTGCATCGCTCTGGACGCAATTCTTGCTCGTTCTCAGTCGTACCTGGAAGCATTTCTGGCGCTCGCCTACGTACATCTGGTCTAAGATTGGGCTAATCGTTATCACGGTATGTGGGAGAATCTCCTCCTACGTTTCTGTCGGAGCGTACGATTCATCGAGTATTATTGAAAAGGAGACGGCTAATGTTTTCCACCTCCTCTATTTAGTCCCTTTACATTGGCTTTAGTTTCAAGGCAGAGAACTCTATCCAGGGCCTCCAGAACCAGCTTTATGCCATCTTTATGTTCCTCATTATGTTCAATAATATCAACGAGCAGATCATGCCCATGTTTCTCCCTCAGCGATCCCTATATGAAGTTCGCGAGCGACCTTCGAAAATTTACCAGTGGACTAGTAAGCCCCCCCCCCTCCCCCCCACTTCTTTTTGCCTTTTGATTCAGCAATGTATAAAAGTGAAAATAGCAACTGACAGCTCGCCATTAAATAGCCTTCGTACTCTCTAATATCCTAGTTGAAGCCGTCTGGAATACGTTGATGGCCGTCTTGGTCTATTTCTGCTGGTATTATCCAGTCGGGTTTGTTGTGAACACAACGGCTGATGACCAGACCGTCCGCGGATTCCTCTGCTTCCTCTTCTTGTGGATGTTCATGCTATTCACAAGCACATTCTCTCACTTCGCCATTACCTGGGTCCCCAATGCTGAGATTGGTGGCGTCATTGCGAGTCTTTTGTGGATATTCTGCTTGGTCTTTTGCGGGTAAGCAAGCCCCCCACCGCCCCTCTCCAAGAAAAAAGAAAAAAACCCCTTCTCTCCATCGATACAAGTCCTCCCATACATAGCCTTCACGAAAATATCACTAACATTACTTCCCCCTCCAACAGCGTCACAATCCCCAAAGCCAACTTCCCCTCCTTCTGGACCTGGATGCACCCCGTATCCCCGGCAACCTACCTTGTCGGCGGCGTCATGGCCGCCGCCCTCGCCGGCACAACCGTCACCTGCTCCGAAACCGAGCTCCTCCAAATCCTACCGCCCGCCAACATGACCTGCGGCGAGTTCCTGACACCCTTCGCGGACGCCGCCAAGGGCGTGCTGCTCAATCCAGCCGAAGCGGTGGAGGCGTGCCGGTACTGCATCGTCGCCACGACGGACCAGTTCCTGTCTCGCTTTGATATCTATTACGCGGATGTGTGGAGGAATTTTGGGCTGTTGTGGGTTTATGTTGTGGTTAATGTTGGGGCGGCGATGGGGTTGTATTGGCTTGTGAGGATGCCGAAGGGAAAGGAGCATAAGCGGGCGTAGGTGGGTGTGGCGTGGTTAATGGAAGGGGGATGGAGGGAGGTTTCTTTTGTTTTTTGGTTTGTCGTTCTTGTTTCATCTCCCCGCCCCCGCCCTTCCTTCTTCTGGAGGCTTCCTCCTCTTTTTGCGATATGGGACTAAAAAGATTGCATGTTCACAGGCGTTGGATCTGCTGGGTAATGTTTGGAACTAACCATGATAGAAACGGTGGAGCTTTTATTTTCACTTTTTCTTTCTCCTTTTTTCTTTCTCTTTGTATTTTCATTCCCTTTCTTTATTCTTTCCTTATTTTCACTACACGTCTACTGGGTATGCGTATATATTGCATGGTTACGCACCACTTGAACGCTGACATCATTAGAACGGCATTGATAACACAGTTTGCTATATTTTAAAAGTCAGAAAATATATATATAGAAATAACGAAATAGAAATATCTTTAAAGATAAAACCCTCACGAAACCCTCTTCACAAACCCAAACCCACACTCTATTTCCTACTTTCACTTCCTCACCGATCTAAGTACCCTGCATATGCCCCACACAATCGGTACCAAGCTCAAGTTCACCTACGCCGGCGGCGGGTTCGAAATTCATAGGGTCAGCCGCCCATTCGTCCATCGTCATCATCGACGTGCCGCCGGCTGGGAACCCCCACCCAAAGAGCGTCCTGAGATCTACCGATTCTCCGATCTGGAAATCGGAAGCTGCGTCGAAGGCTATGGGCGTTGGGTATTCTAGGTAGTCGGAGTCCACGGAGCCGGTGTGAGAGCTTGGATGGGAGCAGCCTCTGGCTACCCGTATACCTGGGTCCGTTGTTGTTGATGGGATCAGAGGCTCCTTTGTTGGGTGCGGTGTTAGCGGGGGTGCGGTGTAGACATGGAACAAAAGAAAGAAAGGGAAAAAAAATTCATGGGGATGGGGAATGAGGTGGGGTAGGGAGGCAGGAAAAGTTTTACCATTTGGAAAGTAGGGCTTCCGGTAAGATATGACGGTGACCCTTTCATATTCACCTCCTGGGCGACGACAGGTTTCTCCATGGTATTGTTATCCTCCGGCGGCGCTTCAGCGGCGGATTTCTTCCTACCAGTCACCGTCCCCTTTTGGTGCTGAACCTTCCAAAAGTACTCTCTGGCAATGTGCGTAAACTCAGGCATAATGCTGCCTGGCATAGAATGGTTGGAGGCGATCCCCATAAGCGCAAAGTATCCAGCGGCGGAATCCAGAAGTGACAGATTTGTTCTAGACTCGCGATGAAATGGGTTGTGGATGACGAGATCGAAGAGAATGAATACGGCTGAGACGGGAAGGACGGCGAGTATGCTATGCATGTATATATCAGCGATATCCTGGATACAGATGAAGAGAGCAGGTTGTATAGTATCGAACTTACAACATTGGAACTTGAGGTTGTATGTCGATGTGCTTGGTCAATTCGATCACGGTTCGCGCAGTGCTCATAAGCCTCTGTTTACTCGATTGTGCTTTGGACCCGCCGTCACGGTTGAGATAGAGGGAGAGACGATCTAGAGCAATGATAGTGTGATAGTAACTGAAATGTATATGGAGCGCGGCCAAGTTGGTACTCGGAGGCGCAGAGACGGGGAACTGAGCTGCGCTGCCTGGTCTGATCTCAGCGGGGATAGATTGGCGCCATGCCTCGAGCATTTCATGGACCTGCTCAATGGTTGACTGGGAGGACTCTCGAGATCGCAATGAAGCGCTCACTGAGAAGAGAGATGTGTAGATAATAGACGTAATACGTCCGATTTGGATCAGCGAAACAAACCAGTTGAAGTTCTCGTATTGTGCCTCTGGGAATGGCGGAATCACACAACCGATATCTTCGTCTGGTATGATCTGTTTTGTTTGTTTGAATTAATTAAACCGCGCCGCTGCACAAGGCTCCACGTATGAAGTCATATAGACTCTGGGATAGTACTCACAGAGCATGTGCGGCAATGCATGCCTTGTTGTTTCTCTAAGGCATAGATAACCCAAAACACCCTGAGGTGCTTGGGCTCTGAGCTGACATTCTTGTGGTACCGAAGTTCAACGACCATACGGGCGGCATGAGAGAGAAAAAACCCATCAAGTTGCAGGGCACAAGAGTTCATAGCATATATCGACTATTTGAACGGAAAGAATTGAAGATTAGATCACCTTGCAATAGTTCAGTGCGAAGTACCACTGGTAGGTTCTTACCATTGCAACTAAAGCCTACAGGCCAAATGTCATAATCAGCAAGCAGACTCCACAGCGTTTAAATGTTGGGGAAAGTAGTATCATACTTGCACACTTTCAATAGATTCTCGGGGGATAATTATATCAGACATGTGGCTTATAGCCACCTGGAAAAGTTCCCATGATCTCCCTTTTCCTGGTTCGAATGTTCCGCATCCGAGAAATTGGCTACCCAAAGCTAGAATACAGTGATACAGGGCGGAGAAGACTGGATTGTGGTGCAGGAATGCCGTCAGATTAGGGTCGAACGCCTGCGCCTCAAACTCCTCACGATCTAGAAATGGGTATACTGGGTGAAGGTTTACAAAGAAAGCTTCATGTATGTTAGTTTAGCACTATACACCGCATAATGTAGCTTGCTCGAGTTTAAGAATTGACAGTCTGCTTACCTTGAATATACCCAGTGGCCTCTTCGGGAGTGATCCGCTCCCTTTTCATAGGCTTGTGGAAAGGAATAGGAGGCCATGAAGATGCGTCTGGGATACCCAAACGGTTTAAAATGAAATCGTCGAGTCTCTGGACAACATCCTGGACCCGAGAATTGCCAATCCTTTGGTTCAAGGATGCCACTTTCTGCTCAGAGAAGAAAGCCAGGCCACAGCTTGGGACTATTGTTTTATTTCATCAAAGTTAGACCTTCAATAGTGTCCTTGCAAGTTGATTCTAGGGGGCTCCTCACCTTTTTCATCCGGAGACTATCGGGTTTCCAACTCGTTAGTCGTGGACAAACCGAAAAAAAAAAAAAAAAAAAAAAAAAAAAAAAAAAAAAAAAAAAAAAAAAAGATAAAAATCAATGTGCTTGCGTTGAATCTGGAGCATACCGTGAATACGGCGGACTCATCGGAAAGGACAACGTCCTGCGGACCATGCTGCAGGACACGGTCGACGAATAGCTCGCCCAAGGCTACCTTCCCGGAAGGCCGTGAGCTGGCAGGCAAAGAATTGGCAACTTTCGGCCAGCCAAAAATCAGCGACAGGCACAATAGCGCATGGATTGAACGATTAACTAGGTGCGACAGATGTAGCTACCTCTGAACCGGGCCTTGCGGCGAAAAACGCTGAAATAGCAGGGAATTCCCCGTTTCTGAGGGACAAGGGGTCAGCGTGAAGGCAAGTTAACGGCTTTCTATAGATCATAAAAATCAAACTTACTATGCAGTACGTGCACCTAGGTTGCGAACCCGACGGCGTTTCGGGAACTAGAAACAATGAGAGAATGAGAATCGATTCAAGTTACTGGTACTCCATATACAAAAACGGCGCGCTGGGAAAGGCCCGCTCACCGATGCACCGAATCTTTCGCTGCCTACACTGGTCGCAGGTTTTGTTCATTTTGACACCGCCACCATTTGGGTTCTCCATGGTCAAATAGTGTGCGAATAGGCTTTTGTCTCGCAATATTCTTCTAGATAGCAGTGGTTTGTTCAAGTGCCAGCACTTGTCTTTCCCCGAGATGCGAGATTTCAGGACGAGCAGACTTTCATTATCAGGGAGGCCCAGGGCGCCACGATCCAGTCAAATAACAATCGATACGGGCAAATTCAAGGCGCCGAGCATTTGGTCACTTACCCAGCGTACGCCCGTACATAGGCTACTCTAAGAATAGTTGAAATTTAGCTTTCTGTTCCCTGCTCAGCGCCCTTTCGCCCAGGCGGGCGATTACGCAGAAAGGAACCAGCCTTGTCAGGAAGAATTAGTTACCGGTGGGGGTGGTGGTGCCATCCCTAGCGCCATGTTTTAAATATCTCCCCTAAAGCCGGCTGCCGGCCTTGTAATCCCAGCCCTAGGGGTAGCATTCATGGTAACCATCGAGGGTTTTAACACTTCGGCCGGGGTTCTATCGTGATGAAGAAAGAATGGGAGTGGGAGTTGATAGTTGATGTACAGAAGAAGAAAAAGAAGAAGAAGAAGAAGAAGAAGAGAGGTTGGATGATGATATGTGCTAGTTACCCGATGCGGAATAAACAACATCTGGTACAAAGACGTCCACCTCTTCCTGCGCACAAATCAACGAATTATAGAAACCTGCTTGACCTTGATCCTGTATGATAACTAACAGATGTCCCCGACTGATTAATTAATAATACTACTTGTCTTTTCGGCGGACGGCACGGGACGAGATATTTAACTACGGGGTACTTGCTGTCAAGATAGCTGAAGTGAGGCTTTTATCTCCCCAGTCAGTCGTTTTAACTCTCAGCTGCTATTGGTATGCGGGAATAGGAGAAGTAAGTATCCTTGGACATCCGATATATGAGGATTTTGCATATGTCTGCCATCCTAAATATCTGTGTTAATCGAAGCAAACCCAAGCACTCAACGCGTTGATAACCAGTTTGTTGTCAAGCTGTCGCATCAGCCTCCTCCCAGCCAATAACTAGCCCTATGCGTGCTGCTGGAGGTCTGAAGACGTCGATTGCTACCGTGCAACGGTGCAAGGGACCTCAAAGCGAAGCGATATACGCAGTAAACTACTTCTGGAAAATTTCCGACGTTAACTCGTTCTAGAGATAATTGGCGGCTGAACTACCATTGGACCCATTTGGACAGCCTTGGACAACCTTGGACCGACCCCTTGGATCCCCCTGGCATCGAAGTCTCCTCTCCATGTTCTCTTCTCAGTATAGACTCGTAGGCCCGAAATCAGTCGGCGTTCTAAATATTGAACCCTGCATGGCGGGGGGGGAGAGGGAGGCAGACAGACACCTTGAATGCAAAACCAGGGGGGAGACCTGGTTGAGGAAATCCAGGGATAATTTTCGCCATTGAAATGGACCGAGGTCGAGAAAACCCTGCTTTCGTTTTGCAGCCTTCTTCTGCATAACATTGAAGTATGAAGATAGAGACCGTGACATGATGATGCAGCGAGGAAGGGGATAACAAACATATCGCACAAGGCGAGAGTATATGAACCCATTTTACGAGGCTTTCGCATATTTAGAATGTCGTTGCTCTCACCACCACACTATCGCTTATTTATTCACTTTAGTTATCTTGACAAGTTTGCTGAATAGTTCATTCAACCAGGAAAGTATTCATTCCCCTTCGCATATATCGTGATGCCATGCCGTTGTCTATGTATTTAGGTCAACAAACAAACCAATGCTCAAGTAAATAATCAACTAAATCCACTGCTCTTTATTGGGTGGGGAAAATAAGATAAAAAAAAAAAAATAATAATAATAAAAAGCTTGACACGAGTATCTATGACGAGCTAACTAACTATTTAACTTAACTGGTGGTGGAGGTTTCTACGGAAAGTTTCAATATTCCCGCTTGTCTATTTTTTTTATCCGTTTCAAGATCTTTTTGTCCTTGCCTGTCCTCCTCCAATTCCCGATATTCCTTTTGCTGTCGTATTATTCCCCCCCTTTTCTCCTTCACAAAAGCTAGATCTGCGCTTTTGAAATACTGATTTTCGCTGTGAGTTGGCTCCAATCCCTCAGCCCAGTTCGCACAAAAACAAAAAAAGGAGCGGAGAACGGAACTAACAGACATAACGTGGTACCACTCATATATATATATATATATATATATACACTAACATATCCTTTGTTCTTATCCAATAGAATAATAGTCACGGAAGAAGGGTTTAAAAGAGACGTGAGAAAGAATCTTCGCCTGGGCGCAAACGAAGCCCCAGATCGCGGGGCACATCCTACATCAGCATTTTCCCTTTTTCTTTTTCCTTATCTTCACCCCACCAAATCCACGCTGAGGTGCAAAAGACCGCCACAATGGTAGAGAAGGTCTATGTCACATATAACCAGGTATGTCAAGAGGGAGAAGAGGTAGAAGAGAGACGAGAGAAAAATGAAGAGAGAGGAGAGGAGGCGGGTGGATGAGATAGCCACACTGGAGAGTTGGGGGAGCGGATACATTGAAACACTGAGAACCCCACGACCTCAGCGGTTTGTTCTTCAGCCATTTCTTATTTTAATTTTTTCTTGCTTCCAAGAACCCCACCGCTGAGCAACATGGCATTCTTGCGCCTTCTTTCCCTTAGCAACCATGGTGTTAACGAGGCGGAAGAGAAAAGGAGGAGGATAGTTGAATGTGGAGCCAGAACTTTTCAGAGATGAAGAATATGCGAATTAACCCGTTTTTTCTTGATCATAACAGGTGCACAAGCTGTGTCAAGCTTCGGCAGACCGCATCCTCAATGACTTCAGACCAAACCTTATGATCGCCATCGGCGGTGGGGGATATATTCCAGCCAGAATGCTGAGGTATTTGGTTTCCTAAATATTCTCTCTCCTCCTTTATCCTTCCGGCAAGCAGGACGAGGGTGGGAGTGGATGCGGAGAGAGGGAAACAATTATTTTTACTCTCTCGTCCGATACTCCAATACACCAACCACCAGCATCGCCATATCTACTCCAAATATACCAAACGAAAACCCGTCTCATTCAATTCTTTGAAAAACAATAGATCCTTCCTCAAACAGCCCGGCGGCGGAAACATCCCCATCCAAGCCATCGGCCTCTCGCTGTACGAGAATTTAGGCAAAGACGACCAGATCGAGGAGCTCGGCACAAAAGTTACGCGCACACAATGGCTCGACCTTAGCTCGTTGGAAATGGCCAATCTGATCGGGAAGAACGTGCTCATTGTCGACGAGGTCGATGACACGCGGACGACGCTGGAGTACGCCGTGCGCGAGTTGCAGAAGGATGTACAGTTGGCTCAGCAGCAATTGGGGAGGGAGGGCGAGAAAACTACCTTCTCTGTGTTTGTGTTGCATGTGAGTTTCTTCACCTGCATCTTTGTCCCCTGAGTCTGTTTGCTTTTTGTACGGGCGGTGTTGTTTTTACATACGGAGTGAAAGAGGTTGGATAGAAAAATAATGGCCCGCGGGCTGTTTCATCCGCCAGCAAGACCGGAGTTTGTTGTTTCCCATCCAATAGAGTCAAACTGCTAACCAAACCCTCTCTCCACCATCCAGAACAAAAACAAAGATAAGAAGGGCAAACTCCCCACTGATATGATGGAAAGTGGCCGATATCTCGCCGCCGTCACCACCGGTGACGTCTGGATTTGCTATCCATGGGAAGCCAAGTATGTCTCTATCTACCCTTTCCCCTCCTCTTTTCGATCCCCTTTACTCCCCCTCCTTTTCGGCCCCCACCAAGCGCCCTTCACCTTTGTCCCCTGGTCCCTGAGAATATCCTTACGCCCCTCCCGGTCCCAACATAGCACGACTAAACCCGCTGATTGCATTGCCATTCTGTAAATCTTGCTTGGCTAACGTATTGAAATCCTGCTATTCCAAACAGAGATATCGACGAACACGATCAGCTGGCGGCTCAACATCCATTAGCGTGATTTCTTCCAGTCTTTCTTTCTTTTTCTTTTTCTTTTCTTTTCTTGTCTTTTCTCTCTCTCTCTTTTTTTTTTAAGTAGTAACTAATTATTCCCTATAATGAATTTATACAAAAGAAGTTCATAAAATGTTACGGTGATGTTTTGTCTGGTTCCTAGTTTTTTGTTTCTTCCCCCGCCCCCCTCTTTCCCCCCCCTGGTTATTCTAGTCCCACCTTTACTACACACGTCATTTTACGATTTCTTTTTCTTTCTTAGATTCCCATGGCATGGCAAGAGAAACACACAAAGACTGCCCAAAATGACAAGTAGCTTGAGTGACGATATGGAAACATCCTAATGAATACGTGCATCACACATTACCTCGTCTCCAATTAAAACTGTCATCTCGATGCGGTCTTGTAGTATTTCGTACTCGATTAAATAATGATCACTTCTGACGAGGCGGATAACATGATATCATGTTCATCCTTGGTGGTTATTGTCAATGCTAAAAAAAAAGCCTCGCGGGACAGTTCCGAATCCTCTTCTCTGTCATATGTGTATTTATTAATTTCATATACTATAATAATAAAAAAGAAAAGCAAACATAGAATCGTGCAGGATATCTAACAAATTAACAAAAGCTAAAATAAACATGTATACTAACAGGAAAAAAAAAAAAAAAAAAAAAAAAAAAAAAAAAAAAAAGAGAGAGAGAGAGAGAGAGACAAGGAAACCATCCCCCTTGCACAAAGCCCAACCTTTCTCTCTTTATACACCCATTCTCAATAAAAAGAAGGCTGACAGCTCCAAGTTTCTCACCCCACCACCCTTCCATCTACCTACCACCGTTCCATTCCCCTTCCTCCCCTCCCCTTTCAAAATCCCATCCATTCACTACAACCACAGCCCCAATCAAGACAAAACAAAACAAAGCAAAAGAGAGAACTTAAAAATAAAATAAAATAAAAATAAAGCAAAACAAAACATAAAAAAAACCCCTACATCCCTAATCAACATCCACCTTCGCCATCCGCAACTGGTTCTTCGCCTCCAGAATCTCCTTCTGCAGCGACTCGTGCGCCTCCGGCACGTCGTTGAAGGCATAGACGCCCCAGCCGAGACGGAAGAGCATGTAGGCGCCTATGACCATGAGGGAGTAGAAGGGGAGCTGCACATTGGGATTAAGTTAGTGTTGTTTTCCTTTCGTTTTCTTGTAACCGCGTAGGTGTGGTGTGGAGAGGGGAGGGGGGGATGGGGTTATGATTGTTGGGGGATTGAGGGTGAGCGGAGTAGTTTTGTTGGACGTACGACTGGTATTATTTCGTTCTGGATGGTGGGATTTAGAGGGACGAGACCGAGGTAGAGGGCGAGATAGAGCTGGTTGGTTTTGGATTATTTTTTTTTTGGTTGGTTAGGTTCTAGTTTTTAGTATATATGGGGAGACGAAATGGGTGAAATTGGATTTTCTAATATGTATATATATATATATATATATATTGCTCCTCAGTTTATTTTTATTTCTTCCCCTCCTCCTTTACGTACCGATGTGATTAAGAGGATGACAGAGAGGGTCTGTTGAGCTCGAGTCATGTTTGCGGGATGTATGGTATGCAGGAACAAGTAGGTAGGAGGGATGGTTTTCGTATGGGTTGGGTTGGATCGTGCGATAGTAATGGCAGCAATTGAAAAGAAAATTAATATTATGTGTGGACAATTGATATCCCTAGAAGCTTGCGTGCGCCAAATCAAGGACATTCGAGGGAATTGGCAAAGGTTGTCTTTTACCTGTTGTGCTGTCTTCTTCTGTATATATAACTATCCTGTTGGTGATGCCAGCTTCCGCTTTTCGATGATGATGAGGCAGGTCTAACCACACGCGTGTAAATCACATGGCCTTCGCGTCTAATTAGCGCGAGATACACTAAGTCTAGAACACCGTATCTATCTACGACGTCTTCGTCTCGCTTGTGTTTGCTTCTTCCTACATTTCAATCTTCTCTAGCTCTAGCGACTCTGGGTTTGGTAAAATGTATTGAAGCAAACAAAGCGAACTAACAGCAGCAGGTGGTGCCAATGAGTTTTATTTTTTACTTATAGCCCAGAATAATACCCACTGACCAAAACCAACAATTCGACTTTACCAAAGACTTATACCGTTTATGAGCGACTGTCTCAGCATTGACCATCGACGATAGCTTCCAGAGTAGACCATACCAAATGGCAATAACTAGCCCACAAAACCGCTTCCTTGGTCTGATGCAACGAGCGGTGCAGGTTCCAGAACACCAGCACCTGGCGCCAACTCCATCATCACATTTTTCCAAAGAAGCAGACACGGATTGATGTCATTCCATCCGTTCATCGGCGCTTTCAATAACGGTACCTTGGAGCGAATCTTGAATGAAGGAGAAGCTTCATGCTCAGGATTTACTTTTGAGTTCGCTCCTTGTCAAACTTCAGGTTCCAGCCTGCTTGGGCTTGCGAAGTTGCGAAGCCGCTGTGAGTCTCGGCGATTCGGACTTTCCTCTAGTTTCACTCATGCAAATGAAGCTGACCATATCACAACTCCCCCCACATAGAATCATGGGGATAAATGCTTCCACATACCTCTCAGGGGGCTTTTCATTCTGCAATTGAATATATCAACACCGTGTCCTGACTGCTTTTGTCTTATCATCATTTATTCTCGAATTTTAACTAGACAGTATCTTCATAGTCCCAACGCCAGTCCAACCATCACTTTGAGCTAGAGGGAAGTGTTCGAGGCTTTCATGAGGAGCAGCTCTGACCCTTCATCTTATTAGGCGCCCCAGTCATTCTTGGACAAAAATTCCCTTAATTAATTTATATCAAAAACCCTTGTTCGCCCTTTCTTAATGGATACTATCGAGCCAGAAGAAGAGCTACTTCAGATTTGATCATCTAAAAGATCCTCACAAGCTGAATTAGTTTCAATGGACGAGAAGGCAGGATACCCGTCTCAGGAGTCTAGCGCAACTCCAAAGGAATCTTCACCGAAACGCAGCGCTGAAGCCGCTGGATTGAGCGGCCCGGACGACAAGTCAAGTCGGAAGAGAGCTTCGAAAGCATGCTAGTCGTGTAGGGCGCGAAAAGTGCGGTGCGGCGTCAGCGAACACGGAGTGCCCTGTCATAATTGCAAACTAGACGACATCGAGTGCATAATCCCGGAGCGCAAAAAGCCAACACGAATGGCCAAGAGACAGTAAGTTACCATTTTATCTCTATCTCCTTGTCGAGTGGACGGGACACTAATTGTAAATCTTCACGTAAAGTCGTTCCATTGGAGCATTTATATCAGGCGTACTTTTACGCATGGAAAGAGCTTCATCAGACACTGCCGATTCGCCCGCAGAGAGTGTGCATGGAACTCGACATTGCGGGTGGGACAAGACTTTCCTGGACCCTTTCGAAACTGACCTGTTCATTCCCCCTTCGCCGCTACAACTCTCAGCCAACATGGGCCTTCTGGATCCTTCAACCCATTCTCCATTGTATCATACCTCCCAAAACGGCGTTCTAGTCCGCATTTTGCTCCTGCAGATCAAAAACGAAAACACCATGATGGTGCTATGCAAAAACCAGCCGTTCATGAGTCCTCAGCCATCAGAGCACGTACAGCGGATACTAAATCCGTCTTCGCGAGAATTATCTTCATCGCTACGAATGTCACCACACACGCCAGCCGTGGAACCACGTATTATACCCTCATCGCTCCAACAGCTTCGAGACGACTACGCTGCAGCAGCCAGCAGACTACGCTCGCTGGAAGAGGCTATCCAAAACGTTGACTGCCAACTTATAAAACGACATCTTGCCCACACCGGCGATCAATCCCCGGTAAACACCTACAGCGAACCTCCTGGCCTCAATATCAAGAACAACAACACAAAAAAACCACCCCGCTTACCCCGCCTCCCGAAAGAAAAACCGCCGTCGTCATGGTCATGCAGACAGTGCAACAGCTCGAGGCTCCACAAGCAAGTGTCCACAAGGAGGCGGAGTCTAGGCCCCAAATCCAAGCAAATTCCAACGAGGAAATTCCGGTATTTCAGGATGTAACGGCCGTGGAAAGTGGGCGACGCGAACAAGAGTTTCAGAATACGTTTGATACCATAATGGATTTCGGGGCGGGTTCGGATACGATGTTTCAATCTTTTAATTATGATTTCTCTGAGGGTATAGAGGGTGTTTAGGTCTGGGTTTGCTCGAGTTTAACATATTTGGGCGGGTATATAATAATGAGGTGCAAGTGCAAGATAAATTAATCATTTTTCTTTCATGTTCCTTACTGTTTCCCTTCTTTATTCTTACACAAGGGGGATTCTTGTTGGTTAGATACCTGTTTTCAATTGGGAATGTTGGCTATCGCCAGATGGGAAAATAAAAGTTTATAGAGAAAAATATACCCTCCCTTCTCCCATTTTCTATTTCCCTTTGCGATCGTGTAGTTTATTCTATTGCCTTAATATCCTTTTGCCACAATGTCCAGATTTTATGACTACATTTGAGAATTGAAAAAGCTGTTCAACATATGCTATATAACTCCTCTTCCCGTTCCTCTCCCTCCTCGAAGGAGAAAACCTTTTCCTAACCGTAGAAATCAAACCTCCCTTCTTCCTAGCTAGTCTTGAGGCTCCAGCTCAGCTACTGCCTGGAACGCTATCATTATTATTCTGAAGTTGTTAGTAGTCGGCGATTTTTCTCGGCATATTTCCATTGCCGACAGCAACAGCTAGGGGTTTCTTGGCATTTGTTGCCGATTCGGCTGGGCTAAGTCGTAAGGAGTTAGTGAGTTCAGGATTGCCAGGGCTTGCATTTTGTGTTGAGCTATGAATCGATTATCTGCCGCTAGAGAGTAGTTAACTACAGTAATAGGCGCCTTTTGGATTATGTGATTGGCTATAATCATCACCACTCAAGTCACTTTAGAGAATAGATGAAGCGGGAAGATCTGTGTAGTTAAATGAGGATATAGAGTAACTAATTACCCAGCTGTTAAAGTAGTAACTAACGATCGAAAGATTTCTATCAATCTGATAACTTGTGGGGATGCTTGCTAACTGAAAATGCTACTCATTTTGTAGATAGTAAGATTTATGTAGCAGAAAGGTATGAGAGATTCAACCCATGATAATGTTGACACTGTATCACTTCTGTCTGAAGGATGTGATGCACGCGATGGATGGGCTGATCCAACAAATATGTTAGCTCTCTAATACTCTTATGAGCAAGTTATCGTCCAGGTCTTTCTTGATAACACCCACAGTTGTTATGAGTCAAATGCAAGACATAGTGAGATATGATGAATGCAAGGGAGCTGCAGGGTCATGGCAGACCCCAGGCCCAGCTTGGAGAAATGACAAGACAGACCCCCTATGATGGCACCTCGAGTGGGTGAGTAGATGGAAGATAATAAGGCTGGGCCAAATTTGCTGAGCGATTACCGTCCTTTGAGTCATCTGTCAGTGTGCCAGCAATCTCAAAGTTCTTAATGATCCTTGATTGAATGAGCGATGAGCATAAGGACAGATAAATATGTTGTGTATCTGCTGGAAGGAAAACGCCAACTCGCGCATAGAAGCTCCAGGCCCAGCCTTTTTCCGGGACAGCATGGGAACTTTGAGATGACAGATATATCTGTCAAGCGCCTTGGCGGAGGCCACAAGGCCAGTTCGAACGGTATCTCCGTCCGAGGCCCTGGCACATTGAATATTAAGCATGGAGACATCAATATAAGACATGCAACGCTAGGCAGCGGCAGGGGGACGAGCGCAGTCAGCGGATGGTGAGTCAGATGGAAGATGGGGTGCTTGAGGGGTGCTTGTCGGGCGATATTTTTATATATATATATTTTTTTATATTTTTTTTTTTTTTGTTCAGGGCCTGGGGAGCAACGGCTCTCTCTTAACGAGGCGTCGGAGAATATGCACGATGTGGTAACTTAGTGTATGAGTGTACAGCGCCATTCTTGGACCCGTTGGATAGCAAGCCCTAATTGCCCAAAACGGCATCCCATCAGTAGCTAGTAGTTATCACAAAGACCATTTTTTGGATGGTAATCTCTCTCACACAGGCAACAAGCATTTCTCAAAGCCTTTTTGGACTCTACTCTGCCCTTCCTCAGCTCCGTCTCAGATTTCGCGATTCATAGGCGCCGCCAAATGCTCGGTTGGCTGCCCAGCGCAGCCGCTAGCCAACAGCCAGACCCACCAGCCTGGTCGGTCGTGCCTAATTTTGACGGCTCCAGAAGCAGCTGGCAGTCCCTGTCGATCTGCCAGGCTGCGTTCCTGCATCTCAGCCATATTGCTTGCCATATTGCTTGATTCTGTCTGCGATTCTCGGAACAGAGGCATCAGTCACTGCAACCTTTACTGAATCCAGGGTCACATGCCCCCCTTTCGAGAGGCGATTCCCGTACTAACCGTACGAAGAGCTGGAGTCTAATTCTCGCACCACCATTCAATTTTTGTGGCTTTTCGGATATTGACCCTGCTATTCTGAAATTACCCTGAGCCTGGAGGGTCTATTTTTAAAGAAAGCACTCGCTGTACCAGGCAACGATCTCCTTATTTGCTTTTTATCAACTTCCATCAGGAGTTTCACGAAAGGAAGATGAGTAGTATAAAGGAGAGCTCAATGGCTCCTGAGCAGCCGCAGGAGGCGTCTGAGCCTTCTGCAGCGCATCACCAATGCCAGGAGTTACCTATATCAAAACCCATAACTAAGGAAGAGACCCAGTTGTCTTCTCCTCGTTGTACAGATACTCCATTATCCGAAGAGCCTTCTCCCCCATCTGCGCCTCCCAGAGACGGGCCCAAGTTGGCAAAGGAAGAAGAGGAGGAAATGTTTCGCGCCCTGCAAGCCATATTCAAGACTGCTGAAGATGAAGAGGGAAATTTCGATGTTAAGGGTTTACTCAATGTTCTAGAGGAGGCGGACGAAGACACTCGCTACGGCAGGCGGAATGTGAATGCTCTCAAGGGTGTCAGGGACAACCTTGGTCTCCTCTGGAGGAGCGGATCGGATTACATGGCCCAAGCTGCGGAGGTATTAGCGAATGGAAGCCGGGACCGTACGTTCAATCTATTTACGGGCTCCTTTGGACAATGCGAGAATTTGGGGCTAATTCGGATTTTATGATAACAGCGGCTTGGCGGGGAGCGTACGGTGAAACCGGTATATTGGACTTTTTCCTCCGAGTAATTGCAACGGATGACGTGGAGGACGATATCTTACTTCACTCTTTGCGATTAATCGGAAACTCCTGTGCGGATACTAGTGCGTGATTGAATACATGGGTCATCCATGTTTCCCCCGTCTCCGTTCTTTGAGGCTAACTCGCAGTATATACAGATGAAAATAGACAGCTTGTCGTTGATAAGAATTACACTTTTCCAATTATCAACCTCTTCAAAAATCCTGCGGTGGTTCATGTTGCTATCCCTGTTATATACAATATTTGTGTCGACTTTGGTAAGTTGTTGAGCCTTTTCTAACTCCACGCTCCGTCTCCGCTCTCCGTCGCTTCCTACCTACAATTTCCTAGCGAGGCTAACTTCATCTTGACAGAGCCGGCCCAGGCTCAAGTTGCTGAGAACGGAATTGGATACAGTCTCCTCACGCTACTCTCCGATGATCTAATCGAAGGAAATGCTCTTTTAGCGTATGCTCTCGAACTCCTTGAAACAGCAACTGAACATGGTTCGTCTCGTTCCTCCCCTCCTTTCGCGATTGGGAGATGAAACGAAAAAAGCTGACAGCAGCTGCTCAAGGAGTTGAAAGGGCACCGGATGCCGCTCTTCCATTACTTATCAACCTCGCAACAGATGAAGACATAGGCTTTGCTCGGTTTACAACACTCACTAGCTGCCTTGCGTTATATCTACAAAGTGAGCGCTTCCAAAATTTATGCATTATTCGCCGACTTGTCGAAAGGGTGATTTTACTCCTACGCCGGTCCTACGACCATCCTCCTCATGGCCTTTCTCCCGAGGACATTCAGGTGCTCATGCAACTACGGCTAAGGATAAATCAAGCCCTTTCCGACATTTCTGCTCTCCCCCTATTCTCCCAGGCCTATCCTCTTAACTGTGACCTCTCGGAGACACTGCGCTCTTGGCTCCGGGAACCCGAAGACCAATTACAAATATGCGCTTGTGTCATGCTTGGGAACCTAGCCCGGGAGGATAAAATTTGTGCATCAATGGTCAATGATTTCGAAGTCCACGTACCCCTGATATCAATTTTAAACGCAGATGCCAAAGCTGCAGTCCTACACGCCGTTCTCGGGTTCTTAAAGAACCTCGCCATTGCCACTGACAACAAAGAACCCTTGGCCTCCGCTGGAATTATTAAAGCTGTATCTCGCCTGTGGGCATTTGAGACTGTTCCTCAGGTCCAGTTTGCCGCAGCCAGTCTCACGCGCCAAGTAATCGTGTCCTCATTCAACAACATTTCCCGTTTGCTAGAACCCTTATCCTCCGACCCTGATTCCCCTGCAAATTCCCGCACTTATCTCTCTCTACTCCTCTCCCTTTTTGAAAAGTCAGACACGACCCCAATCAAGATAGAAATCGGCCGCACGATCTGCGCCATATGCCGCTCCATAAACCAGCGTCAACAACACGGAGCCGAGGCGGCGATCGAAGCTTTTGATCTCGCTGAGCGCCTATATAAGCTCCACGAGGATGTTGCTTGGCCCCTTGGAACGATGATAACGCAGACAGAGTGGCCTGTCGTGCAGAGCGAGGGCTGGTTTGCTCTCGCACTGATGGCGTCGACACCCTCCGGTTCCCTAGCGGTTGTCGATAGTATGCAGAACATGAGCGTTTTCCAGCTGATCAGTGACACAGTTAAGATGATTATATCCGAGCCTTCTGGCGGAGAGTCTGTGCAGGAGAAGACAGAGCGGTTGAAGAAGGCGAAAGATCGGGATAATGCGATTATTCTTGTGAACGGGTTGCTGAAGAATAAGGTAGGCTTTCCTTCGTCATCTGATTCCTCTTTTCGGTTACTTGGTGTCTTCGATCCCCCCCGTATAATTTTTTTCTTCTTTTTCTTCTCTATAAAAATATTTTCCGCCACCCCAATACTAACCATATCTTCCTCCGAATAGCCAGCAACACTACCCGGCGCAAGAAGGGAGATGCTTGAGGATCTCATGCGGGATGTCGCAGAAACTTACTTTGTTGAATAAATCTACCGCGGAATACGGCTTTGAAGTGCTCATACACTATACACACTGCGCATTTTTTGAATGCATCGTATCTGGCGTAATTGATTTCTTGACGTTCATATATCACTTTCTCCACTTGGTTAATTAACGAAGTTATGAGTTTGAGAGTGTTTATTCCCTTGTTTGTTCGCTATTTCTCATATGCGTATAGAAGGTATTCTATTCCATCTGGGCCTTCCACTCCTTTTTATACATATTTTATTTCTTTTCTTATACAAGTTTCCTACGTCGCATTTACATCGAGTTTCCAGCCATTTGAGCCGCTCCATATCCATTTGATTGAGCATAGCGTGTGCGGTCTAAAAGTAAAAGGACCTGCATTTGGTTCGATTTCAGCTTTCCTTTTACCTCCACAAACAAACAGGAAAACATTATACTAACCATTGTGAATGAAGAATGTTCGATGCAATGGTCAATATAATATCAGGCTAAAAGGAACACATATTTATCCATGCATTTATATACATAATATGAACGAATGTACACAGAAAAATATTGAATTCGCGTCTAGGGAATCAAGAAAAGAAATGGAAGAAAGAAAGAAGAAAGAAAGAAAGAAAGAAAAAAGAGGGCATAAATCACGCCCTATAAACATTGAGTGAGGATTACCGGACACATTCAGCAGTCCATGATCAAAGCCTTCCAGCCAGCCAGCTAAGTCATTAAACCGAGGCCCTATCCCCATCCCCACCACCGCTCCCCGTCTCTGCTTCAGCCACCCTGCTCCTCCTCTCCCGCAACTTCTTCTCTATCCTCATAAACTCCCGAATCCCTACCGGGATATCGGCGAACAGGTCGTCGTCCAAATCACCAATACCGTTGCCATTAGCACTAGCCCAATTCACCTCCGACCCACCACCATCATCATCCATACTCATACTAGCACTCTCCACCTCCTTCCGCGGCTTATGTCGTATTTCCCCGACGGCAACGATATCGCCCCCTTTCTCAGCAATAATAGCCCCCTTCTTCCCTTTCGCCTTCCGTTTTCGCCTCTCCTTCTTTAGTTGTTTTCCCTTCCTCTTTGCCTCCCTCACCCGCTCCGCCCACCCCTCAACGTCATCTCGATAGTCATCCCAGACGCAATGGACACAGCCGCTCATGCAGCAGTTATCGGGTTCCTGGGGGCGGGGAGGGATGGGAATGCCGTAGATGACGCGCCAGGTGGATTCAGGCGTGCGGCTGCCGGGGTCGTAACGGCCGGAGGAACCAGCGTAGCCCGGCCCCGCCAGCCGAGTGCCGAAGACTATGCCCATCCTTTCAGCGGGAGTAGGTTCGCGGGCTGATTCCGGGGATTGGGTTTTGGCATTATCTACCACCTCAGGTGGAGACATTTTCTCTTCGGGTAAGGGAGGTCGGGTGCGGCGGGCGGGGTGTTGTGAGTATGGATTGGAGAGGATTTCAAGATAGTAGCCTTGTAAGGGATATGTCTGATGAGGCTGTTTGGAGGAGAGTGCGTGTGATTCATCTTCCTCATTCCGCTGAGCCGGGGTGGCTATCTGTTTATGCTGGTACGGGTTTGAGTGCAGATGTCTACGGGAAGGACGGGTCGATGTTGCCGGACCTGCAGCGGGGAGAAAGTAGTTTGTACCGCTGTAAAGGCAGCGGGCGCATATAGCACTCCTGTGCCGGAACTGCTTCCAGAGCAGAAGAGACAGCTGCTCCATTAGAGAGAGTGTGGCCTTGAAGGCGTGAAGAATAAGTATGACTGTTGCGGGGACAATTTTTTTGGATAAACATTTGCCGAGATAATTTATCTCTAAGACTATTTTATTTAGTAAGATCACATGCTCAGAAGCAATTCTCATCAAATTTCTATTATTTTGATTGCAGAGAAAAAGAATAGAAATGTATAATTGTAATATTAAAAATATCAATGTATATATATTATTGAAACAGTCAGTCTATACTCTCTACAAATCAATATTTTTAAAAGAAATTCTCATGCTCAATGCTCTAACTTTAACTGACTTTATATCTAAAAAATAAAAATATGAAAAATAAAAATTAGTTTCATCAAAAAAAGATCAATTGAATTCTTTAGTTATAATCTTGTGTTAAAACAGCCATCTTTTCTTGTGCAGCGGCTTAACCAAGTTTAACTCCGATCACGTGGCGAATGTTATGTCATCCAACCACCCACGTTGTTTCTCTCCGCAACAACCAGCGGTTTGTTTACGGGATATATGGCTTCGTTGCTTTCTCGCCTTAAAGGAGCCGATAAGCCTGTTCTACAAGCTATACAAATTGCCCTCTCTCTATGTACAAGCTGCTTATAAGTAACCTTTGTTAGGTCTGAACGTCCCACCACCCCACTCCCAATACCTCCGCATGTCGACGCGCCTCCTCCATGCTCGATTCACCCGCCAAGCGGCGCAAGTCTAATTCCTCCAGCGCAATCGCCGTCAGCGCTTCAAACACAGCCCAGCAGTCTCAGGTCAATGGCGTTGATGTACAGAAACCGCAGCGCCCAAGTCGCGCATCGTTCCAGTCACCTACCAGAGCTAGTCTCGCCCGCTCACACCCAGACGTCCTCTCGCGCGTCCTGAGTCGCTCCCCCGCAAAAACAGCACAGCAGAGGCCAGCGAGTCGTGGGAGGGAGAGCGTTAGTATTGGTGGTGGTGGTGGAGTGGGGGATGGACAGTCGGGCGTAAGAGGTAGCAGGCTGCCTAGGCCATCGTCACTTTCTGTGACTTCGGCTTTAGTGAAGGAATTGCCGATTCGGCAGGCGATCCAGAAATTTGTCCCTTTGTCGCCGCGTCGTGGGTCAAGTGTTCCTGTTTCTGCGTCTCAACCACCGCGAAAATCATCGCAGCGATCACAGGTCTCCTTGTCGGCGGAGCCTGGTGCACAACGCCCCACGCCACAACCCCCCTTGCGGGGCAAGGACCCAACATTTGGACCAATAGTGGACGAGTCAATTGCCAATGGGAGACGCACGCGGTCTTCATCATCGCCGGGTCAAGGACATGGCGAACCTGAGTTGCCTCCTACTCCGACTGAATTGGGTCTGGAGAGAGTACCTAGCCGTCGGAGAGGATTGTTGAGTAGCAGTAGCCCGAGCTACCGCCTGGAGAAAAAGAGGAAGCAAAGGATAAGAGATGGCGTGAAAAGGCTTAGTCCACTTAAAGATAAAGGCCCAGAAGTTGACACGGATAATGTTGCCGATCAAGTTGCGTCTCCGCGCATTACTTTCCCTGAAGACGACGTTCCTGATCCAGTAGGGGAAAAGGTAAAGTTGCGTGATGCGCTTGTAGCTCAGCTAGCGAGATTGAAGGAGGAGGTTGCGAAGATAGAGTATGAGGCGCAAAGATATGAAAAGCCAGACGAATACCCAGCGCCAGATGAAGAATCTATTAACAATTTAATGTAAGTTACCATCCCATCTCTCCCGATTCCTTGAAGTTTCTAGCTAACCAACTATTTCAAAAGCGAACTCCTGACGACCTCTAACCCATCATGTGCCCCTCCACCCCCACCGCCGCCCTCACCACCCCCAGTCTCCTCCGTCCTCTCATTCCTCCTACCGTTTTCATCCTCCCGATTCATTCCCTCAACTGAGCCTGCCCCACCTCCATCAACCTCCCCCCCGCCAGAGAACCCGTTCGCTCTACACCAGCCAGCAGACTTAACACCATACCTAACGCTCTTCGCACCCCTATCCCTCACCGCGTATACGACCACAACAACCTCCACCTCAATTCTCCCAAATTCAACACAAGAACCATCCTCGTCATCATCACCCATTATTACCCAAACGCACAACCTAACCTTATCCGCACCCGCTCCCTTTCCCATCCACCTCTTCCAAATCCCCATATCCCTACAAACAAATCCAGAAAGCCAGTCCGTTGTCTCCATATCTATCCCCGCACAACCGCAGCCACACCATCCCGATAAACCAGTAGATCACAATATCCCTCCCACTCTCTCCTCCTGGCTACAAACCCGCCTCTCAAACCCACTATTACAACGCGATATCTCCGGTCTCTGCTGGGGAATATCCCGATACTGGGAAGCGGATATATCGCGAGCGAAGATCTGGGCGGAGCTGGAGGAGTTGCGCGATCGGGTAATAACTACTACCCTATCGTCAGCTCAGAAGGTGCCCTCCGTACCAAACCGTGATGACGATAATGACAAGGAAAACGACAAGAAGACATACACGCCGCACATTCTCCTTCCGCACCTTGGGCGCACGTCTTTTCTTTTCTCTGTTGTAGAGACACGGCAACGGAAACCGGAAGTACCAGCGGGTGGTAGCGTTCACTCAGCATATCCACAACTCCTCGTTACATGCTCGCTTAGATTGGATTTATGGACGAGCGAGCCGCAGCTGCAGCCGGATATTAGCGTTTCGGTACCGCTGTCGTCCCCCGCGGGAAGCCCGGAGAAGATGGAGAGGGAGGCGAAGAGGGTTTTTCGGAGCTTTTTGGGGAGTGCGCATGGCAAGGGTAAGGGCAAGGGCAAAGGATGGAAAGCAGGGGCGTATGGACAGGTAGAGATTGATGGGGATGCGGAGGTGCTTGTTCGAGCTGTTGAAGGGGTTGTTGGGGTTCTTTTTGGGGTGATGTGAGTGAAGATTGGGCTGGTTGGGTTGGGGAGAGGGGGATTATAAATTGCATGTGTGTATACACGTGTGGGTATGTTGTATTGTATATAATGCTTCTTTCTTTTCCTTGGGTGATGGATAGGCGGTTTCATAGATTATTCTCATCTTTTTTTCCGCGGCGGGATCATTTGACAATCGAATCGTGCACGGCGCAATGGGATTGATTTTTTACTTTCAAGGAACAGAGAAATGGGGATTCGGCATCTTTTCTTTGTTGGTTTGTGTAAGTAGCAAGCCCGAACAATTTTTTTTGACGAATAATAGGATCGGTCTGTTTTTTGTTTCTTTACCTGCTTCTTAGATTACAGTGGTCCAAGCATGAGTATACTGTTTGGGTGCTGTATCGAGACATATTTATAGTTGCGTACGGATAAATGTACCCCCATGCTGTAGCTAGCTGGAATGCCATAGTCCCCAGTCTGAACAAATTTGCCCTTTGAACCTTCGATTACTCGCATACCGGATTCGATTATGCGTGCGGGATAAAACCTGTCATTATATGGCATGACACCCTGGTTAAAGACGATCAATTGGCTACGGAAAACCCGGTGGGTGGGGGGAGAAAGGAGAAAGGCAACTAACGGATCTTACATTCTTTACGCAAGTCATCGTTTGAAACATTGAGAACGGAAAAGAGAGAAAAGAAACGGAAGAAAGAAACCAGAGAAAAAAGAAAAAAAAAGAAAAGTAGGAATTAAAATATAATTATGCCGTAGTATTGTATGTCTCTCTCACTGCAGCTGCTCCGCTCTCCTGCCATCCCGAGTTTTGGTCCGGATGGCGCAGATACCAGTTTCCAGTGTTGGCTGTTTTTTGTTTTCCCTCTCAAACAACCCATAACATAACCATATTCCTTTTCCATTCTCCTTCTTCTACCTCCCGCCCCCTTTTCCTCGTGTTAAAAAAAGATCATATATCAACCAAGCAAGATCCGACGAACCCAAGCAACCCGCTCCGTCATGAGAATCAGCATTAAAACGGGAGACGAAAGCAGCAATAACAGCACCGAGAAGAGGGAGAAGAGGAAATAGATAATCTCGGAAAAGTGACGGCCGGCCATGATTTCTTTTCTTGAATTTTCCCCTCACGGAAACAAAGTTCTCTAGGCGTCCGTCCGATCTCTTCTCGCGAGTGGTGATGGCGACGATGGTGGTGAGAGTGGTATTGGTGGTACTGCTAGTTTCTCGTTCTTCCGTTTTTGTAGATTGCGTTAAAAAAACAAGTTAAAAAATAAAGAAAAAGAAAAAGAGGAAAAAGAAAAAGGAAGAGATAAACTCATTTATCAGATTCCCTTCTTTGTTTAAAAATTTATATTTTTTTTTTCGTCTCTCTCTCTATTTCTTCGCCGCAGCAGCTTCGTCAGCCTTGGCCTTAGCTCTCTTCTCCCGTACACCAATCAGTCTCGCCTCGCTCCGGGCGTCTCTCAGTTTTCTGTACGCACCACCCTCGACACCAGCGGGCAGGTCACTCTTGCTGATCTCTGAGACGGCCTCGGCGCGGCTGATATTGTTGATGGGGAAGAGAGAGTCAACGCTCTTGGTGAAGCTGTCCTGGGCAGCCTTGATCTCCTCGGCGGAGGAGTCGAGTTTCTTGTATTGGCCGGCGCGGCGGGGGAAGAGGATCAGGCGGGTCTTGTACTCCTTCAGGCGGGCGACGTTGACGGTAAGGGATTCGGAGGAAGCATTGACGCGGCGGTGGTCGACCGCGATACCGATGGTGGGTGCGAGTTTGCGGGGGATTCCGGCTTCCTGTGAGTTTTAAGAGCGTGTGAGCGGATTGTTCGTTGGACATGATTTCCAGTCGCCTACGTGGCACTTATTCCCTCGAGACAGTTCGGGGAAAGAAAATCCGTACCTTCAGCTCTTGAAGAGTGAAGCCACGACCAGCTCTGACACGGCGATTGTACTTAACAGTCGGGCATCGCACGACTGGTCTCAGCTTATCGACAGGGCGAGGGGCGACGGCAGCCGCCTTTGCAAGACGAGCTTCCCGACGACGGTGTTTGCGACCAGGCTATATCAAGTAAAACACACGAGGATGTGTTAGTTGTGTAAATTTTCGATGTTCGCATGAATTCCCTTTCCCACAGATATATGGGATGGATCTTCGCGTGTTTGTTCTTGGATTGCGGGTGGGTTGGAGAATTTCAGAAATTCCGGATGGGTTATGGGACGAATGGGTGTAAGATTGTTGATATCGTACCTGATCGAAATGTACCCGAACACGGCGAGCCCAGTCCTTGTGGAAATCTGTACAAACACAGCAAAAATCAGTCACCAACTTCTTCCCCAAATATATCGTAATGATCCAATTTTGGCATAAAACTCACGGTTTTTCGGGATGGTCTGGTTATGCTTGATCGCCTATAAAACCACACACACACACACAAAACCACACCAGCACAGGTCAGCGATCTGTTGTCACTCTTTCTCCTCCCGCTCTCCCGTGCTCTTATTTTTCTTTCTTCAAACCGGAGGCTCTCTCTCAATTGGAATTTGGCAGAAACATACCATGGTGACGGATGGGGACCAAGGAAGTCGAGGCGGATTTGAGTGTCGGTTGTCGGTGGTCGCGGTTCAAACAAGACAAGACAGGACAAGGAAGAAAGGACGGAGACAGCAAAACCTTGGAAGTATGTTGTGGGTTGGTGTGTCACGTGCTGGTGCGAATAGGCGCCAAGAACGCTTCCGCATGCGGCTCGCTTAGCGATGGACGGTTAGCCCTAGGGGCTTCCTAATCGGGTAGGCAGGACGTTGAGTTGAATTCATTTATAACTACCTACACTGTACAGAGTAGGTATGAACTGACAGAGAATAGGAGTATTCCTATTTGATTCAGAGACAGATGATGAAATATTAAATTTCAATGAAATCAAGTTCTAATGAGTGTCAAATGTTGTATATCTTATTTATCTTACTCTTACTGATACTGCAGAGTGACTATTATAGTCTTTTTACTTACAGATTGATCAGTGACAATGTGAAGAAGAATGATGATAATAATAATAATAGATCTCTTCTCAGAGTACTCTGTACAGTAGACTTCAAAATACTGCACAGACACAAAAACAGTGAAAACTCACAAGAATATCATCATTAACAAGCAGATTTCATCCCAAGAAGTGAACAAACTCAAGACATAAAGAAAACTGACAACTATAAAGACAAAAGCTCCCCCATTCAAAGAACAAGAGAGAGCAAATTCACAAGTCATAACAAAACCACCAGCTGAATCCTGATTGTTACAATTGCATATCACAAAGCATAATAAAAGGAAAAGCACAACAGAGAAATTATTAAACAAAAAAGAACATCATGAAAGTTTTCATCAAGTCATAAGCCAAAGTATCCCCATTCAAACAACCCAGGTCGAAAAGGGTGAGAGCAAAGCAGACACATTTTCAAACATCATATTCCATGGACAAAGGAGAAAAGGAAAAGAATGGACCATAGGACAAACAAGAGAAAAGATTCGTAACAACCATCAATAGGAAACAAATAAAGTGGAAAAGAAACAAGACGGAAAAAAAGAAAAAAGAAAAAAAAGAATCAAGGTTGAATCCCAAGCCCAAACGCCTCTCCAGCCCGTAGCTTCTTCGTCGCAATCTCCTTCTCGCCGGCATAACCATTACCAGCAGCTTTCCGCTTCAGGCTATTATTACCATTTTCTCCACTACCGCCTCGCTCAACACCGGCCTTCTTAACCTGCCCAAATAGCTTTGTTTGCAGGGTCGAACTGGATTTAGAAAGATTCGAGGACATCGAACTGTGTTGTTGTTGTTGGTGCTGGTGCTGGAGTTGTTGTTCTTGGCTGCTGCCGGGGTATCGGCGGAGCATGCTCGTAGCTAGTGAGCTGGCTTGCGAGGCGGGGACGTCTTCGTCGGTAAGTGCTTCATTGTCATCTTCGGAAGCGGATATTGTGCTATCGCGATCGTGGCGGCCACGTTCGTCACGCTCACGGCGTGAGATCGAGACAGAGTGGTTGTGACCGTGGCTGTGGCGGGAGTCTGGGGTCCGTTTGTTGATTGGAGTGAAAAAGTGGCCTCGGGATTCTGTGGTGCGGGATCGTTGCGGGGTTACGGGGAGGGAAGACACGGGGAGGGAGGACACGGAGTGGTTTACGCGGGTGTGCTCCTGGTCGGGGTTGTGGCTGTGGGGTTGAGAGTGGGAGTGGTGATGGTGATTGTTGGATTTGTGAATGTGATTTCGTGATGGTGTAGAGTGCACGCTGACATTTTCTCCGTGTAGAACTTGGCCAGCTGCAAGTAGTGCAGCAATCGGATCCTGGCTGCCAACTCTGCTAACATGGCTACGGGCACTATCTGGGTATCGAGTGGAGGTAGTCTTTCTTTGCGGAGTGAGAAATTCGGGTTGTGGACTGGGCATCAGAGATCCATGGTCCAGCATAAGAGTGAAATGCTCACGATTTTCACGGATGCGCTTCTTAAGACGGCTATTCTCTTCGCACAGCAGCTCGTTTTTATCCGTTTCTCCCTCGATGATTCGTTTGGCTCGTCGCAGGCGGCGTTCCAGTGTGATGTTTGCGTCCTCGAGCTCCTTGATCCGTCTCATTGTTGCGTCTGGCTGAGGCGTCTTGGGAGAGAGTTCAGGGGATTTCTCCAGGCTGAGGCCGCGCCGATGGCGATATTCTACACTTTGCAGAATCTCGACTTCTCTTCGTGCAAGCTTCTGCTCCACCTCGGCTCTCTTGATCGCCTCGCTGCTGGTGAGGCACAAGAGACTGTGTTGGAGCTTGAAGTGAGCTGCTGACATGCGAAACTCCTGTGCAAATACAAGGAGATCCTTCGCAACTTTTCGCAGTTGCGCCTCATCTGCGTTGTCGATATCTCTCGAGGATGGCAGATCCGCTGAAGCTCCATAAGCTACGCAGAGCGTTTGGTCAATGGTGGCGGGCGGTGATGCGAGGAAGACGTCTGAGTCTGAGCGTGGACGACGGAATGGAGTAGCCGCAGCATTGCCCATCTGTTGTGTTGTTGTTGTTGGAGGAGGGGTCATGTTGGAAGAAGATTTTGGCGGGGGAGATGAGCGGAGTTTCTCAGGCATGGAATGTTTGTGGTTTTGGTTGATGGCTGGCTTATCTGGAGAGGCTGATAGGCTTGCTCTAGAAGGAATTGGCGTGCTCGGGACCTTAATCTCTGCCGCGGGTGCTAATGAGCACTGGGAAGACCTCTCTTCAGTTTCCCTCGTCGTCATGGCCGCCATCGACAAGATAGGGAAGGAAGCCGTAGATAAAAGGAGAGAGTGAGTCAAGTCGATATGGATATTTAAAAGGATTATGTGTTGCAAAGATGACAAATATTCAAAGAGAGGTGGTGAGCGACGAAAAGGTCGAAGACTAGAGGCCACGTCACAATCGTAGCAATCGAGCGGATCGAGGGACGGGCTGCTCGCGCGGGCGGGTCTCTGCTTACTGTAGCACTGAGAACCAAGCAATTGGCAAGCAAGAGACGCGACGATGTCGTGTTTCGCAGGAGAAATAAATATATATCCGTCTGTATATACGGAGTATCTAATTTGGAAAGAGGAAATGAGATGGGTGGTTTGCCAGGGACCCCAGGATGGAGAAAGGGAGGTTTACTAGTAAAATGGCGAGGCGGGCGAGGAGGCTGGAGGATATCTCATGGGTTGTTGTGGAGGCAACGGATGAAACGGCCCACTTTTGGTGAATCCACAGGCGAGACCACGCTGAGTATGAGAATGCGAGAGACAACGTAGAGAGATATGAATGATTCGTACAAAAGGAAAAGAGAGAAAGCTCAGGTGAGACGGACAAGGGATAGATATAGTAAGATATATAGAGGAGGAAGTTGGGGGGATGTTGTTGTTGGTTGTTGAGGAGATGAAGTCAACAAACTGGTTTAAGCCGCCTTCCAAACAGGAAATTTGCGGAGGCTGGGATCTTGGCATTCAATTACCAGCCACACAAATTATGAATCATGTGACTTAAAGGACCATATCGAGTTAGCGTGGAACGGGAGCTTCCAACTTACGATCTAGTCCATATACAGTTAGTCATATAACATCCGGAATAATGATCCTCCGGATAACCTTGTCCCAAATAGGAAAAGTCATAACAGCCGCTCCTGTTCAGGGATCAAGCTTGGGGAGAAATGTCTATACACATCCACCTCCGGTCAGAAACATTCCGGACAAAACAAAGACAGACAAGGCTTCCTTTGAAAGATAAAGCAGGAGGGGAATAATTCAACACTCTGCCGGATTTATTCTCTCTAACTGTGGACGTCCAGTTGACCTTCTCTTCGCTATGCATCTCGTCTTCAGCTAGGTAATTCTTGGAAGCTTACGCTGTAGTTAGTTATTGTCTACTTTACCCCTGGTCCCTGATCTTCCAATCCACCTGAACCATGGACCACAGCTATTCCACCCCGAAACGTCCCAGTGGCATTCCACGGCCCATGTCAAGACTCCCACTGCCTACGCATTCTACTTCCTCCAAATCTATCCGGCCGTCTCCGTCTCGCGAACGCCTACAAGCTGATTCCGGGTTAAACATAGAGAGATTGCGGAGACCTTCACAAGAACTCTTTAAGAAACCCCCGCTGCCGTCTCCAGCTAAATCTCGAGAGAGTTCATATGGCCAGAATGAGTATTCGTATAAATGGACCCCCAATTCCGGCGGTTCCGTGGCGGAAGATGAAGAAGAGGAGGAGGCACGTGAAAGCAGGAGTAACAGAACAAGTATCTACACTCCAACAACTAAGTCTTCAAGACCCTCACTATCCGATCGGACTATCGAAACTATAGCCCAGATTCCTTCTTCACCGTCTCCTAGTAAAAAGAAATCGACGTTTTTTGCCCCCGAAAGCCCCATGGCACCTCCCTCTCGGCCCCCTTCTGTCACCAATAATTACCAGTCACGCCCTCCATCCCGCCAGGATAGCGCCAATGGATCAGTTCTGCAATTCTCCTCCGCCATACGAACCGCATCGACACCTCGAACACCTTCTAGTGTCTCAAATATGCCCCAGCCAACATTCATTAAGAGATCCGTGTCTATGTATCGAGAGTCCACCACGCGGTCTTCAATAAACGGTGCTGGTACTGCCTCGCCAAACCATAGTAACGTCTCTACGGCTCCACCAATATCGAAGAAAGAATCTAAAACCCCTGCCGCTGGCGCACGAACCTCGTTTTATGGAGGTAGCAAAAGCATGTCAATAAGACCACCTAAAGCGCGCCCATCCCTAGGCGCCAATGCATTCGCAGCCCAATCGAACAACGTAAGTACGGGCAATGATGCTAAGAAGCCTGCAGCTAGAGCACCTGCCACAAAAGCACGGAAACCTTCCTCGAATCTTTCTTCTAATCTTACCTCTCCAACATCTACCTCCTCAAAGAAATCACCCAGAACTTCAGTGACGTCAGACGGTAATCCGTCCGATTTACCGCCACGAGAACCAGAAACAAGGAAAGCAACGAAGTCATCAAGCGCTCTTAGAGAAACCATTGCCAAGGCGAAAGCTGCGAAAAAAGCCGCAATGGAAAGTAATGCTAAAAATGGCCTAGGTGACGTTCTGGATCCCTCGAACGACCCCTTTGCGCAGCTGTCCAAAGCTGAGCCTAATAAACGTGTATTGAAGAACAAGGCTGCCGCGGCAAGGACATCAGGTCATTTAAATATCGCTGCCATGGGACTGAAGGAAATCCCAGATGAAGTATTGACTATGTACGATTTTGATCCAGAAAGTGAGGGCGAATGGTATGAGAGCGTTGATCTTATTAAATTTATCGCGGCGGACAATGAGTTTAAATCGTTATCAGATGCTATATTCCCTGATGTTGATTTTAATACCATGGACATGGATGAAAATACCAAGGGATGCCAATTTGGTGGACTGGAAGTTCTAGATCTTCATGGCAACATACTTACTACTCTTCCCAAGGGTTTGCGAAGACTCCAACGACTACGTTCTTTAAATCTTTCCCACAATCGGTTGGACGCGGAAGCTTTCGAAATCATTACCGAAATCTCATCACTAACCGACTTAAAACTAGCAAATAATAAGCTTGGAGGCAGCCTAACTTCAATTATTGGTGCTCTTTCTAAGCTTGAGGTGCTAGATCTCCGTGAGAACAGCCTCACTGAACTCCCAGATACTCTATCCGACCTTTCCTCATTGCGCGTTCTTAATGTTGCCGAAAACCAGTTGACTTCCATTCCATTTGAGGCTCTAAAGGCACTTCCTCTTGTCGAGATCAATGCTCAGAAAAACCGCCTTCAGGGACATCTTATTCCAGCCTCAGTTACCCGCTTGGAGACTCTACAAGTTCTGAACGTGACGAGCAATTCATTGGAAAGCCTTTCGCTTGCCGAAACCCTGGAGTTGCCCAACCTCCAGCAGTTATCCATAGATGCGAATCGCATCAAGGCTCTCCCAAACATTTCTACTTGGAAATCACTCCTTACCTTAACCGCGGAGGACAACGCTATCTCTAGCCTTCCGGGAGGTTTTTTAGAGCTCGAAAATGTAAAAGTTGTCGATTTTACAGGCAACAATATAACAACGCTGGACGAGAAGATTTCCCTATTGGAAAACCTCTTCTCATTCCACATAGCGAACAACCCGCTGCGAGAACGCAAATTCCTGACGATGGATACCGACGAATTGAAAAGAGTCCTACGCGGCCGTTGCGAACCCGACCATCCTGAAGCTGAGGAAGAAGACGGCTCAGTCCAGACCGAATTCACTCTGGCCCCAGAGAGCCCTACACACGCCAGCGCCTGGCGTATTAAATCCGGTGGCGTCCTCGACTTCTCTTCCACGGACTTAGCCGACCTCGACCCGGCAGATCTAGAACCCCTGCTTGCCTCTTCCACAGCTATAAAATGCCTGTACTTACACCACAACCGCTTCCACACTCTCCCCGTTGCCGGCCTCACCCTCCTCTCCCATACCCTCACCGACCTAGACCTCTCCCACAACCCCCTTTCCTCTAGCCCCACCACACCGCTTCTTACAACACCTCTTTCCCTCCCAAACCTCCAAAACCTCACCCTGAGCTCCACAGGCCTAACAAGCCTCGAGGTCCTCCAACACCACCTCTCCGCCCCAAACCTCACTTTTCTTGACGTCTCCAACAACCGTCTCACAGGACCCCTTCCCCACATCCGACAAACCTACCCTGCCCTAATCACTTTCCTCGCCTCCGACAACCAAATTGATAGCTTAGAGTTCGAAGCTGTGCGCGGCTTACAGGTCCTAGACGTGAGTAATAATAGCATAGCGTCTTTGCCGCCTAGATTGGGATTGTTGGGGAGCGAGGGGTCTACAGCGTCGGCAGCTACAGCAGGAAATAGCAAGGGTGGTGGAGGTGCTACAGGGGGAACAACGTGTTTGCGCCGTTTGGATGTCGCAGGGAATTGTTTCCGTGTCCCGCGCTGGCAGGTTGTCTCGAAGGGGACGGAGGCGGTGTTGGAGTGGCTGAAGAACCGGATTACGGCGGAGGAGTTGAGGGAGTGGGGTGCTTTGGAAGAGGATGAGGATGGTGTTGTTGATTGAGGGGATTTTATTTACTTAGAGCCAGGAGAAGAAACAGGGAATTCTACCTGGAGACCCTGCGGGCTTGTACCATCACCATCTTATATTTACTTACACTGTTCATGTAATATTTTCTTTTTGGATTTTTCATATTTTTTTCCAATTATTTCATTTTTCTTAATTTGCCTGTCCACGTCCTCCTGTGTCTCCGTCTGTCTGCTCCTCTTGCGTTTACCTGTCACAGGTGCTTTTTTTCTCCTCTGTATTATCTTTTCACTCTCGGCCCTTTACTTCATAATTTTTATTGCTCGGGCCGAAATCTTCGTCTGACGCTGCCCATGAGAAACTCCGTCGTGAAATCTTCCCAAGCGTGGAGCGATTATATTTTTCCCATATCTCCTATTTCATTTACTTGTTTCCATGCATCTTTCTTGTCCTATTTTTCGTCGATCTACTTTGTATATATCCAGCAACAGCTTAGATTTCTTCCTCTTTTGGGTGCTTTTTTTTTTCCTTCTTCATTCGTTTTGCATTTTTTTTTTTTTTTTTTTTTTTTTTGCCTTTTCCTTTCTGCACGTCCCTTTCTCTTTGAATCGGCATTTTCCCCCTGAATCGACTAACTTTGCTCCATTCTTCCTTTTCGTTTTCGTTTCTCTGTTTACTCATATATATAATCCCGTGTCCTCCATATGCCTGTGTATATAAAAGGTACAAACCAGATGAAAATAATCAGATTAAATAGAATTCTTATGTGTAAATAAACTGAACAGATATTGTTTCATGTACTCTCTGGTTAATGAGACCAAAATCGCCATGCCCACGTGTTTTTCTCGTAGAACTTAACCACATAGCTACCTGGGTATATAAATAATATAATCTGCAGCGAAATCCATCCCAATTTTCAAGGGTAAGACATATACAATAACCCCAACGAAATATAAAGTATCTATCACCTACATTTACCCAATCTTCTTCCCACAGGGGCATCCATGCGTTCATGGACGACGGCCGCCGCAGCAATAATCTCTATGACCCCTCCGCCTTCGACCTCGTAATCCCGTCAATAACCCTCATCCACGTGTCTGCCCATTTCGGAAACTTGTCCTCCTCACCCGCAATCTCCGTTTCGCCATTGACACTCTTAATGAACGGCGACCGTGCCACCTCCGCCGCTGAAAAGGCACATTTGTAGAGTTGCTTGGTATACATGGTCACATTGTCGATGTCGTGATCATACAGAGAGCCAGCGGCCTCGTCGACGAGGTTGGGCAGTTCCTTTAAACGCTGGAGAAGGAGGTTGACTTGGGAGATTTGAGCTGAGGAGAGGATGGAGTTTGGTTGGTAGTTCTGTTTTCGGTCATTGGATGTTGAGGAAGACGAGGAGGTTTTCGATTTTAGACGGTGGGATATTATGGCTGGATATATCTGGGCGATTGGGTTGAGGAGGCGGAGGAGATTTGATTTTTCAGACTGGAGGTTTGCGATGGAGCTGGTGGTTTCTTCGTCATCGTTACTTTCGTCGCTAGCTTTGTCCTTTTCCTTCTTCTCCTTCGCCTTACCCCCAAGCTCATCACCGTCATCCCAAAAGAGACCATCTTCGTCATCATCATCCTCCTCTTCCGGGTCCCACTCTTCCAGCTCCCTTATCCCATCCTTAACTAGCTCAAGATACTGCCTCGCCTTCCCCGCCACAAACCCCACAACCCCACCCTCCGCAAACGACACCAACTGCTCACACGTCTTCCACAACCGCCCAGTACACGACATGACTTCCCCCTTCTGCTGCTCCGTCACCGTCACTCCCTTCCCCTCATCACCACTCCCACCGCTATCCGCAATCACCTTGACAACCCCAACCAAATTTCCAAACTCCTTCAACGCATCTTTAACTAGCAATTTCGCCTCAGCGTGGAATGCCTGTGTGTATTCTGTCGGTACCGCGAGAAGGGCAGCTGTGACAAGGGAAGGGAGTATGGATTCGTTTACGGTTGAGAGAACAGTTATAAGCGCTGAGGGAGTGAAAGGGGTATTTACGGCTAGGAGAGATAGTTTTGTTGTTTGAGCTTTCAGGGCTGCGGCGGAGGCGGAGAGGAGAGGGAGGGGCAGCGGGGCGGGGTTGTTGCTGTTGACGTTGCTGGGCTGGGATTCCGATTGGGGTAGTGAGATTGAGAGTGTTGAATGGAATTGGTCAGTGATAATGAGGGTTGCTTCCAGGATACCGGAAAGGGTTGGAGGCATTTTTTCACGTTTGTCTGTGTTTGCGGTGCTGGCTGAGGAGAGTAAACAAAAGGAGGAGAATTGTATTTTCTGTTGGCCCTTACGGCCGTTGCGGTTAGCGATCCCACTAGATCACATGACCCACCACTATATTATGTTCCTTGTAGATAGATCTATCAATACAACCTTCAACTATTCTACAGATTATAGCCTGAATGACATGTTTTTCTTTTTAGAACACTGAATTAACATTTTTTTGACACAGATAGTTCATCTTTTTTGAAAAGACTTTCACTCTTTATTAGAGATATTTCATTTTTTCTGAATCTGCTAATCAGCAGATTTATATACTTTATATTTTATTTAAGAAAGTGTGTTCTTTATTATGAAGAATATCACTTTTTTTTTTACATATCTAGAAGAAGCAGAGTTATCTTAATATGAGTGATATATCTATTACTTCAGAGTTCAGCTCAAGACTTAGAATTATACACTTCACTAGATAACTCATTAATAGAATAACTACTTATTATAAGAAGGCTTCTGACTTGTAAGATAAGACTAAGATCAGTTTTCATCAGAGTATGAAATTTAATGATGAGATAATAAAGAAACTTCAGAATAAAGAAAAGCAGAGTTAATATTTATCTGTAGAATCTGTTTATTTTAACTTATTAAATTCTTCACTATTTTTTATCTCTGAAATGCTTACTTTTAATGATGATCTGAATCAATCTATCTATTACACTGCAGATAATCTTATGAATCTTATATAAATAATACTATAGAATCAGATAACTACAGCTGAAATCACTTAATATCTCACTATATCTGTTTCTGTATAAAGAGATACTATAAGAGATGAGTTGTAAGAATATCAGAAGAAAGTTAAATATATACTAGATATTAAATCAGTGATTATATTTAATAACTCTAATTATAAAGTCTGATATATTAATATATTAACTGATATGAAAGTTATTAATAAAATTAATATTCTATTGAGAACTCAATGAGAATTCTCTTTTATATATTATATTAACTCTGAGAAGTGAAGAATTCATTTCAAGTCTTTATATAGATGTATACTATTAAGTCTTATTAAAAACATTTAAATTACTATTAAAATTTTAAAAGCTGATAATACTACAGCTCTGTAAGATAAAATTAATATTAAATATATAATATCACTGATAGAAGAATGAGTTAATATCTTCAAGAAATTGATAAAATTATAAGTTAAGAAGAATAATTATCTTACTTTTCAGAGATATTTCTACTATTTTATTATCTATTATAAGAAGCTCTGTCAGAGTATTAAGAATGTATATTATAATCTTTTTCTTAATAATCTGCAGAATTATCAGAGATCATTTATCAAGATATATTTAAATAAGTTTTTCTCTATCAGTCAGAGACTCATTGTTAATATTAATATTAATAATTTAATAAAGTAACTGATCAATTATATATTTAAGAAGATTATTACTAAGTGAAAAAAGCAGTCTCAGACTGATTCTGTGACTGTGAAAAAGAATAAAGATAAGAATAAAGATAAGAATAAAGATGAGAATAAAAGTATATCTGTATAAAAGTACACTCACTGCAGAAGATATAGATATACTGTTAATAGATATTTCATCTTACACTCTGATAAAAAGAAAAAGAAGAATGATAAGAAAAAAGAGAAGAAGAATAACTTAATAAGTTCTTATTATTATTATTATTATTATTCTTTCATTATACTTATATGCAAGCGGAGCTTATAATGAGTTCTTGCATGATGTTAAATACAGATCAAGTGTTGATTATACAGGAGAAAATACAGGTATTGAGATCACACCAAGATAACAAGAACATAGAAAAATACAAAGAAGTGATAATTAGATACATGTAATAATAACTTCTCAGCTCAGAAACATAGAGCAATTCATTGAAGTGATTTATACATCTCTGTATTTATTAGAAACCTGAGGTGCTTGAGTTTCAGATTTAATGTATCCCCTGCGGGTTTCGAACTCACACACCTTGGTTTCTCATGCCAAGGTGCTACTGAGTGGCCGCATTAACCATTCAGTCACTGAGGCTTGATAAGTTCTTAATCAGCAGTAAATACAGTAATTATAAAGATTGAGTTCTATTTCTCTTTCACAGTCACTGAAAATTCATTCTCTAGATCTTGATATTTAGATACATATATAAGTCTGAATATAATGAATAAGCTTTATTCTTTTTCAAATATTAAATCTTTTAATAATAATATCTCTGTCAATTCTGTGACTGAGAAAACTGAGTTTATTAAGAAGATTAAGACTGTTATCTTGAAGATTGAGAGTGATGATATTAATTTACAGAATATTTACTATATTTCTAATATTATAGTTAATCTGCTCTCATTTATAAAGCTTGAAGATCAGAAATTCTAATTTATATTATCTTTTACTATTCTCTCATTTTTCATTTACAGAGCTCTGAACAGTGTTATTTTTCATATAGTTTGAACTGCTCAGAATAATATATATAAGATTAATAAACAGAAGTTCAATGAGAATTTCAATCATTTAAACAAGATAGTTAAGTATATTGTAATAATGTCTTATAAGTATAATTTTAACTGAAAAGTTAATCTTTCTATGACTGCTACTACTACTGTTAATAATATTGATTCTACAGTTCTAAATACAGATCTTAAGAATATAAGAATATCAAAGACTCTTTTGAACTGACACTGTGATCTCAGTTATATTCACACTGATGCTATAATTACTATGATCAAGAATTCTCATACTAAAGTCACTATTAAAGATTCTAAGACTAAGTTCTTTTATAAGAAATGTGTTAAAACAGATATGACATGAGATTATTTAAAAACACTGATGCCTAGATCTATTTAACTCATTGAGAAGGTTTATATTAATCTTGTAGATGATGAATATACATTGAAAGATCTCTCTGATTATCTCTTAAAGTCTTATTAGAAGACTAAATACTGAATACTTATTATCTGTGATATAACCTGCTACTATTGAGTATATTTTTTAAAGTTCAAGAATGAGACTGTTCAGTACTTTGAGTTATGATTTAGATTCATGAGTAATCTCAGATATACAGTTTCTGCTTTTCTACAGACTGATATTAATGATATTTTTCAATTCACATGTATACACATAGTTATGAATTTATATGATATTAAATAAGAATCAACAGCACTATATTTATCACATCAGAATAATGTTTTCAAACATAGAATTTACACTATTATAAGATGAGTTAGAGCTGCTCTTTTGAAAGATAATCTCTCTAAGAAGTTCTGAGTAGATATTCTAGAGACAGTGATTATAATAACTAATAATACTCTTATATCTACAGTTCTTTATAACTTGAAATTTTGATTCTCTACTACAGAGACTTCTGTGATTTCAAGTTTATATAAGATTTCTTAATATACACTTATGAATATTCTGCTGAATATGAGATATTTTCACTGATTAAGTACAGAGGTTTTTATTCACTTATATAAATCTCAGCAGCTCACAGATAAGCTTTCTTCATATGCTGATTTCTATCATATTATTGAATTCAGTGATACATTGATATATTGTCTATGACATTCTGAATCTGATAAGATTATTATCAGTAGTGATATGAGATTTCTGATTACTGAAAAACCAGTTATTATATCTGTGAAACTTATTAATTATATTATTGAATTAGTTATCACATCTGTGATACTCACTAATAATATCAGTGAACTGAAACCTGATATTCATCTGATTGATAATGAAGATGCTTCTGATATTAATGATCTGAATTTCATATAATTACAGCCTGTGAAATCACTGACTATATATACTCTAAGTCTTATTACAGATAATCTTCTGAAGTTCTACAAGAATACTATATTATAGTCAGAGAGAGTAGAAGATTATTAAAAGAAGTTTATATAATACAAGATTACTGATCTGAAGAGATGTAATATATAAAGTTTGATTTCTAGATCTGATATTCTGAGAGATGAACTGATTACTTCAGACTGTTAAGTATTTCTTGAGAAAGATAGGCCTGTGAACTTAAATACTGATTCTGATAATATTCTTAGAAAATCACATTGAGTGATTTATAATAACTGACTTAAGAAGAATTCTAGAGAAGAGATCTACACTTCAGTTATCACTGATACAGTCAATTATATTCTTTTTATAATAGCAGTACTACACAGTTGAATACTCTGTTAAGTGAATATAGTAATAGTATATCTTCATAAGCATCTCACTAAGAAGGTCTATATAAGATAATTCACTGAATTTGAGATAGATTCACTGAAAATACTTATCTGTATAATTGAGAGTAGTCTATATAGTCTGAACTCTGTAGTGAAGATCTGATATAATTACTTAACAGCTCTGTTGAGTGATCTTGAATTTATAGTCAGTACTCATGATTCAGTACTCTGATATTATATATTCAGATATCACCTCTATATAATAATTTACATTGATAATCTCAACATTATATTCAAAGCTTCTGAGAATGCTGATTAGCTAGTAAGTATACTTAGTGAGAAATTGAAAGTCAAGAATCTACATCAGTTAATCAAGTATTTAAGTATAAAGATTAATTATTCAGATAAGAGAATTGATTTGATATATTATCAATATATTAAATATCTTGTTAAAGATTTCTACCTTGATGATACAGCTGTTGCTAGAATATCAATAAAGAATGAATTTTATATTAATGATTTCTCTATATCTGAGAAAGAGACTGATTTCACAATTCAATGATATCAATATAATGTGAGTTATTTATAATATCTTGTAGTTAAAATATGTTCTGATATCACTCACACTATCTTACTACTTACTCAACAGAATATTGATTTAATATCTCAATTATTATTATTATTATTATTCTTTCATTATACTCATATGCAAGCGGAGCTCATGATGAGTCCTTGCGTGATGTTAAATACAGGTCAAGTGTTGATTATACAGAAGGAAATACAGGTGTTAAGATCATGCCAAGATAACAAGAACATAGAAAAATACAAAGAAGTGACAATTAGATACATATGATAATAACTTCCCAGCT